GGATCTGCAGAGAGCGGGGCAGCAGCAGGCACTGGAGACCAGACTGTGCCCCTCCGCTGCTCCCGAGGAACCCCATAAAACCCTTCACCCTGCTGACACATGCGGGAACACCGGGATTCGCCTTCCTCACCACCAGCTCCCTGTTGTGCACCTCCAAGGACATTTACCACCCACTACAGCGCCTCAGAGGGAAACTGGTGCTGGCCGAGTTATACAGGGCAAGAAACCTGGGGTGGGCAGAGTGTGTCTTGCAATTAAAACATCACCCATCTGCTGCTGGAAACACACCGGAGCAGGGAGACTGCCCGGGGACAGAGCACAGACCCTCCCTCCCACTGCCAGGGTGCTGCATGCACAAACACCCCTTTACAGCAGCCAAGCTCTGCTGCAACCCTGCTCCCCAGCTCCCTATGCACACCAAACCCCACTGCAGGGCTGTATCTGTCCCCCACGTCCCCAGAGGACATCCGGAGAGCCCAGTGGGGTGAGCAGCAGGAAACACAACAGGTACGTGGGATGACACGGAACATCCACGCAAGGCAAACCAGGTTCGCTGCCTCCAAACCCCATGGGGCGAGCAGCAGGTCTCCAAGGCGTGCAGCCGGAGGTGTCCCTATGAGCTGCGTTAAGGTCACCAAAGGGGGAGCAGGACCCCTTGGGAAGAGCCCAATGCACAGCTCCCCGCAGCTGCCTCTGGAATGTGCTCTCCCACAGCCCGCAGCCACAGCTCCCTGCTGGACCAGACGCCACCCAGCTCCATAACCCCCAACCTCCTTCCCACACTCACCCCAGCCATGTTTTCCCACTGAGGGCATTCCCATGCCCTCCAGGGCTGTCCCTTGTCCCGCAGCCCACGGTGCATCCCCTCGGCAGGGCTGCAGCGCTATAAGGCAGCCCTCGCACCTCCCACCTCCTGGCACGGCGGGGGCAGGAGGGTCCGGGCTGGCAGCCTCCCCAGCAGCCGGGCATGTGCTTCCCTCGGCCCCGCTGTGTTTGGAACAGCTTTCTATTTTAATTAACAGCTCCACATCCCCCCCCCTTCCTCGCCCAGCCCGGTTTGGGGCTGTTGGTTGCCAGCCCATGGCTGAGCTGGGAAGAAGCAAAGGCAGCAGGGCCAGGGCTCCCCTGACCGAGAGGTGGTCACACGAGCAGCGCTTTGTGCAGCTTGGTCTTAAGGGGAAATGCATTGGAACCTCTGGGATGTTGGGAAACGTCCCCGTCTCTGCACCCAGGGGATTTTCCAAGTAGCTGGAACGCTGCATTGAGCAGGGAAGGGTTTATCACAGCAGAGATACCCCAACAGCAGCGCTCTGATGGAACCCCCCAAAACCTCAGCTAGGCACGTAGACGCTGTCATGTTTTGGAGCACACATAGAATCATAGAATAGTTAGGGTTGGAAAGGACCTTAAGATCATCAAGTTCCAACCTTTTCACTGCGAGCAGAGCAGCAGTGCGTTGTTTCCAGTACTTGCAATGGCTGGGAGCTCTGCTTGTGTGGGAAGCCACCCCCAGAGCAAACCTCACCCTCTTTTCATCAGCTCATCACAAGAGCACCCAAGAGCTACCTTTCTGCCTTGAGTCATTCACCTGCAATGCTTGTAAGGGCAGGAGCGGCAGAGGAGCACCCCATGTACCCCACTCCTCATGGGATGCTGTGCTTCCCCATGCACAATGTGTTAGCATCCTCCCTTGGAGCACAAGCAAAGCGAAGCTGGCAGCAGGACCGGGACCTTGTGGGATTCATCCCTGAGGATGCAGGATAACACTGCCATGCAGAAGTGCACACACGCAGGTGCAAAAGGCTCAGCTCACAGGTGTACATACACCCCATGGCACGTCCCAGCAATGCTCATGCACAAACCTGGCACCTGAAGGATGGTGAACGCATGGAAACCCCAGCAGTGCCCACTGCTGCCCTTCCACATGCCGCACCCAACCCCAATCCTGCCTTGCCATGCAAGAAAACCCCTGCTCGCTGATGGACACCCATCCTGTGCCAACCGGTGCCGCAGGCGGTGAAGCACCACAGCCTCTCCCAGCACTGGGTACGGCACAGAGGCAAGGGGAAGCAGTGAAACGAGGGGAAGGTGTGTGAAAGCAGGAGTCATTCAGCGCTTCAGCCACAGTGCTGGGGAAGCAGCACTTGAAGGAGCACCATGCACACCGAAAGCACTTTCTAGTGTGTTCTTTGACACCCAAACCCCACTCTAACGGAGCAGCCTTTGCCCCAAGCCTTGCCACACTCATGCACGTGGTGCTGCTGTCACACAAAGCGCTGGGCCGTGCCTGCTCATCATGCGATGCTGCCATCAGCCTCGTCATGGTTCTTCGTGCAGCATCAATAGGAGCAGGGTAAGAGCATCAGTGTGGGGCTCCGGAGCCCAACCACGCACCTCCAGGTCAGCAACAGGGGCCCTGACACACGCACCCACAACGCATCTGCCCACCCCAACATGGCGCCGTACCTCATGCCCTCCGCCTCCAGGAGGGTAGCGATGGCGGCGGGCTCGGTGCCCCCGGCCCCGGCCAGGCTGCTGTGCCTCCTGCCCAGGCGGACGGCCGCGGCCCGCAGCTCGTCATCGGAGCTGCTGTCCTCGAAGGAGCCCAGAACGAACTTGGCCATGGCGGGCCGGCGCAGTGCCGCGGGGTTGTACACGGCGATGTGCTCCTGCTGCCCCCCCCCCACCGCGTTGGGGGCCGGGGGGCTCGGCCCGGCCGGAGGCTTGGCGCTGGTGGGAGCCGCCGGGGGCTGCTCCGGCCTCTCCTCCTCCTCCTCCTCCTCCTCGGGACGAGCGCTGGACATCCTGGTCAAGATGAGGCGTGCGCACAGCAGCAGGAGCAGGGCCGCCAGCAGCATTCACCTGCACTGCGGAGGACCCCCCGTCATGGCGCCCGCAGAGCCCCCCCCGGCCGCCATTGCTCCCCGCAGCGCTGCCCAGGCCCCGCCGGAGCTATTTTTACTCCCTGGACGAGGGAGCCATGGGGGGGGGGCTTGGCACTGCTCTGCCTTCACACAGCATGAAGGGGGTGGAATGGCCCCCAGCTCCCCACAGCACCCTAAGGAGGGCAGTGAGGCCGCCCCGCTGACCCCAACCCGGCTCCATACAGAGGGGGGACCCTTCAACTGACCCCCCCCCCCCCCAGTCTCCATAAGCCATTAAAGCCAGAACCACCACAGCCCAATGCTCCCCTCAACCCTGACCCCTTCCATAGGGAAAGGCCCCATGCTCACCATGGGCGCTGAGCTCGGTGTGGGCGCGCTGAACGTGGGCAGCGCCGGCTCCTCGTCCCACTGCCCTCAGCCAGGCAGGGCGCCCATGGCAGGCCCGGAGCCCACGGGGGCCAGGCTGCAGGGGGGGGGGCCGTGGCCCAGCTGCCGGTGCTGTCCCCACACGTGACGGTAACGTCAAGCGGAGATGTTTGTGTGCGAGCGTGCTGGGAGAGCTCGGGCTGCAGGAGGGGGGGCAGGCATGGGCGGCAGGGACACCCGAGCCTTGGGGGACAAAGGTGCCCTGGCCTTGTGCCTGCTCATGGGGATGAGGGGAAGGACAAGAGCCTGCTGAGGGGGGGCTTGCCTGCATAGGGGGGAGCGGGGATTCCCTCCCAAAGCAGCACCCATCACTGAGCCAGGGACACCCCCAAACCAGCACCCATCACTGAGACAGGGACACCCCTAAAGCCACACCCATCACTGAGCTAGGGACATCCCTAAACCAGCACCCCTCACTGAGCCAGGGACATCCCTAAACCAGCACCCCTCACTGAGCCAGGGGCACCCCCAAACCAGCACCCATCACTGAGCCAGGGACACCCCCAAACCAGCACCCATCACTGAGCCAGGGATACCCCCAAACCAGCACCCATCACTGAGCCAGAGCCTCACCTCAGGCACCCTCTCTTTGCCATTTTCCTGCCACTTTGATCACACCATAACATAAACTGAGTAGTTTTTATTTAAAAATCCCAAACTGGGGAAAAAAACCCATCAAACTGGGAAAAACCCAAACAAACAAGAAGTACAAACATCTCCCCCCAAAAAAGTAGACTTCCCTTGCACTAGTGCTGCCTGTCAAAGGAAATGCCAAGGAAAAGCCTTATAGGAGTATTCTATAAGTGATGTAATTCCCAAACAAGGCACTTCAGTTAAAGGAAGCAAGGAGACAAAGATGGACTGGAAGCCCCAAAGGGCTAATGCCAGCCTTGCCTTCACCCTGAAGCCCCCCATTTTAGGTCCAACAGTGGCTGGAGTCTGCTCCTATGCAGGCAAAGCCCAAAGCTCCCTCTGTTGCAAGATCTCCTGCATCCATCACCTGGAACAAGCCTGGTGCCTCCAGCAGGTACCAGAGCTCAGTCCTCACAACCCACCCTTCAGACCAGTGCTAACACAATGGGAGAGCATAGGGGCTCCTCTCTAAATGCCAACAGAAAGCTCAGGGCACCACCAGAGCCTTGGTCACGGTCTCCTCCTGCCTGCTGGGGGTATTTACCCTCCAATCTCGAGAGCACGGATACAGCAAGCAACCCTTCTGACAGGGTGCAGTCTCTACAGTCCCAAGGGGCTGTATTCCTGCTAAATCTTGCAACAGCAAAAAGCTAAACCCAAAAGCATCTGCCTTTTGTCCATGGCGTCAGCTCCCTGTTCCCCAAAGAGGAAACCTGCATTTGCAGTGGGAGGAAGCACAAGAAGGTATTTACAACAGCTGAGCACTGTCACCTGGGAGAACTGACATCCCTTCCAAGAGCCTGGAACTACATTCCCATCGCACCAAGGAACACAAATATACAACTCTTTGCTTCACACTAGGCAGCAAGTCACCCATCCAACACACCGATACGCTCTTCAGAATAGAAGAACCCTTTAAAAGTACAACATTTCTGACAGTTTGGTCCTTTCTTCTTTGCTCAACATCCAAAGATTCATTCCCAGGTCAGCAGAAGCTCTTCAGGAACAAGGCAACCCCAGAGCAGGAGCTGCCTCGAGGCATCAGACCCCAGCACAGCTCACAGTGCTCTCCAGTCAATGGGCTTCTTCCCGGCTTTCTTGAGCAGCTCATTGGTCTTGGAGAAATGCCGACAGCCGAAGAAGCCTCTGTTGACAGAGAGGGGCGAGGGATGCACCGTCTGCAGGACGTGGTGGCGTTTCTGGGGAGCACCAGAGGAAACCTCTCATTAGATTCCTGTTCTCAGCTCCCGGGACAAGGCTGGCTGCTTCACCTCTGACCAAGAGGGATGGCCCCACTGCACCCCCTCAGCCACTAGCCTGAGCACCCAAAGGGCTGGCCATGAGGAGCGAGACTTCTGTCCCACTGAGCAGAGGGGGATGGACTACATGAAGCAGCAGTAATACCCTGGCCATTGTTCAACTGTTGTAATAACAGCAAGTTTTATCCTATTCCTAGAAAAGGCAATAGTTCTGCCCTCAAGTGGAGGCCTTTCTGACAACACAAGGTTACACTTGCTCCACTTCTGTTGCTTAATTCCGGCAAAGGCCAAGCTTGAACAGACAGGGAACTAAATCTGACAGCAGAGCAGGGAGAAAACCCCAATTCTATAAGGGAAGTGCCCTCTAGTGTCCACCCAACTGAGGAAAACAGACGCAGGAGAGGAGGAGAAGCTGTACCCTGTCAATGGAGATGCCTTTCTTCTGGGCATAGGCTCCCCACAGCATGAAGACCACCCCGTGCAAGTTCTTGTTGAGCCAGGACACCACGACATCCGTGAACTGCTCCCAGCCTCTCTCCTTGTGGGACGTGGCCTGGTGAGCCCGCACCGTGAGGACAGCGTTGAGCAGCAGCACCCCTAGCAAACACACAAAGCATGGAACAACAGAGCAGGGCTTCGCTTCTTCCTGCTTCCCAGAGCAATGGTAAGTTCCATTTTCATTCTATGGCATCCACCAAGGATGTGCTCAGAACTGATTTTGTCTTTTGCTGTTTCCAAGCATGGGCTGGTTTATTACAAGGCCTTTTTATGACCTACAGCAGGTTCATTACTAGAGCATCTGTTAACTCACCTTGCTTGGCCCAGCCAGTCAGATCACCGTGACCAGGATGAGTGAAGTCCTCAATATCTGTAGATAACTCCTTGTAAATGTTTTCTAAGCTGCAAGCAAAAACCACCTTTTTAATATCTAAATATAAGAGCAAACAAAGCACCACTCATTGCTCTTACCCTTGGCAAGAACAGCAGTGATTTCAATTGGATTTAAAAGGATCCTCCCTGTGAGGGTGCTGAGGCGCTGGCACAGGGTGCCCAGAGAAGCTGTGGCTACCCCATCCCTGGCAGTGCTCAAGGCCAGGTTGGACACAGGGGCTTGGAGCAAGCTGCTCCAGTGGAAGGGGTCCCTGCCCGTGGCAGGGGTTGGAGCTGGGTGAGCTTTAAGGTCCCTTCCAACCTTCTAGGATTCTATGATAATAAAGCCATTTATAGAAGCAGAGCAGCAAGGCCCTTTGAGTATCTGGCTGGAGGCTAAATAAGGAAGTCTCAGCACAACTGAAAATGCAAATTTACACCCAAGCACACTCTTCAGAACCACAAAGTACCCAGAATTATCCACGCTTCTGCAGTGATGGCTTTTAATAAGCAAAGCACAACTCAGCTTGAAGCATCGCAACTCAGTTCACAGCAATCATGGGGCTCACAGCTGTGAGTAAGAGAGCTGTAAATTGCTTGTAAAAGGGGGTTTGGAGAGCAGGCATTGTCATACCTGGGGGGAGGTGGAACAGGCTTCTGCACACTGAAACAGAGCCCATGAGCTTGATTAGGGCCATGGTATGGATCCTGTCCCAGAATGACAACCTTCACCTGAAACCACACCTTTGTTAGCACTCAATTATTGTCAGTATAATTCCCAAAAGAGGTAAAGAAAAAGCAGAAGACTTTTTAAACAAACTCTATCCTAAACCAAACATACAGACCACCAAAACCCACCCTAAACCACCCAAGAACTGAAGTTTAAACCACGCACCTCTCACTGTAAGCACATTAAAGATCACAATCCCCACCTAACACTAAGTATTAGCAGCCCCACAGCTTTCTTGCCATAAGAGGATAATTTTGAGTGGGGAAACCCAACATTTCCATGAGCCATAGCAAACCCCTTTATTAAGGTAGTTTCCAAGTAGTTTTTAACATTTCAGTTTTATGGCACTTCTGCTATGATATTTCGACACAGCTGGGATTGCCTTAAACACTGGGTTGTATTTTTTAATTACAGCTCATTACAGACCACTTAAAAACAGAAAAGATGCAAAAGCAACAAAAATTAAGCTGGTAACACTGGAAATAAGGGCAAAAGTCCAACTAAAGTTATAAAGGAAATTCTATGATGAATAAGGGTAACAAAACAATAAAATGTCACTATCAAGGATGAAAGAGACACTGCGATTTATGAGTTACGTGAGAGAAACAGCAGCACCTACATCACATGGGACTGAAGCTTAACAGACTAAGCATCAAGCAACCACCCCAGCAACCCCAGCCCTAGCTTTTTCATCGTTCTAAACGGAGCAGCAGCAGAGCCGCCTCACACACACCCCGCGGTTCTACTCACATCCCTAATGTCGCACATCTGCGTCCAGGTGAAGACTTGCTCGGGGGGCGGATACACCGTGTAACGCTTCCTCTCCTCCGCCACGAAATTCATCAGCTGCGGGGAAAGGAAGTGATTCCGGGGTTGTGGGGAGCGGCGGCCGCCAGGCCTGGGGCCATCCCCATTCACGGACTCACCTCCACGAAGTAGGGCTTGGAGAACTCCGCCGCCAGCTGCCGGCGCCAGCTCTCCCCGAAGCCCGGCGGCACGTTCCGCTCCGCCAGCCGCTGCCGCGCCGCCTCCTTGTTCTTGCGGATCCGCTCCAGCTGCTCCGGGCTCAGCAGATAGGCCTGCCCCGACCCATCTCCCGCCGCCTTCGCCTTCTTCGCGGCGCTGACCTGGGAGCAGCGAGGGAAGAGACGGATGCAGACCGGCCCGGGGGCACCGCGGCCCAGCCACAGCCGCGGCAGGAAACCTGCTACTACCATGGCCCCATCAAGCACCACCCTCCGCACGCGGGTATTTCGCGGCAAAACAGCGTCGAGCCGCTCCCCATTGGCCACAGCTCCGAGCGGGGCCCGCCCACAAGCGGGAGCACGAATTCTCTCTCTCCCTATTGGTAAACGGCAAAGCGCCCGCTCCTCCCGATTGGCTCGCCACAACCGGCGGAGAGGATTTCTACCTAGTAACCGTGACGACACGGCGGATCTCAGCATCCATTGGGCGGCGGCGGAGCGCGGCCTTGATTAGCAGCTCATTCAAGCGTGCTGAGAGCGCGGGGTTTTTGGAAGCGGCGGCGCAGGGCGCGCTCCTCTCACCCCAGCACCCCAAAATGCGCCAGCGCCGCGCACCCCAACTGCCAACAACACCCCGAGACCCCCTTTCACCTCCAGCCCCTCTCCCCCCTCCACAGCCGCCACCAGTCGCGGCTCCAGCTCCGCCGGCTCCCCCAGCCCGCTACCTCAGCGTCACCGCCCGGCTCCTCGGAGCGGCTGCGCTTCCTCTCCGGCGCGGCGCTGAAGAAGGAGTGCAGCGTCTGCTGCCCGATCATGGTGGCGGGGATGGAGCGGTGGCTACGGCCGTGCGCGGGATGGCGAGTGAGGGGGATGCAGATTTGGCGCCAAAACCGCGCGCGTGCGCGCTGTAGGCGGAGTCTCGCGGGAGGGAGGGGAGTGGAGCACTCCCTGACGCATGCGCGCTCGCCCCGCCTCTCCCGCTCCCTCAGGCTGCCGCCGTCCCGCTGTGCCGGTCCCGGTCCCGGTCCCGGTCCCGGTCCCGATCCCGATCCCGATCCCGATCCCGATCCCGATCCCGGTCCCGATCCCGATCCCGATCCCGATCCCGATCCCGATCCCGATCCCGATGGACAGGTTCATGGTTAAACGCCCCCCCGGGGAGGCAGGGAGCAGCAGGAAGAGGCCCCGGCAAGAGGAGCCCGCCCCGGTGCAGCCCCGCTGGCAAGAGATCCGGGCCGAGGGCCTGAGCTGCGACTACCGGCTGCTGTTCGGCAAGGCCGAGGCTGACGAGATCCTGCACCAGCTGGAGGAGCAGGTGGAGTACTTCGAAGGTAACGGCTCCGCCGCCCCGTGAGGTGTTTCCCGTGGCCGGGGCAGCAGGGCCGAGGCGTGGAGGGGCCTCTGCAGGCGCCTGGTGTGTGCAGGGTGTCCCTGAGAAGCTGAGAGCAAGCCCAGGTCCCATCCGACACGGTTAAGCTGTCAAGTGTTTTAATTCCTGTTTTAAGGCAGCTGGGGTAATCCTGGGGCAGTGGTAGGAGTGTGTTGGTACATCTGAGATGCCCCCGTCATGTTAATTCAGCAGCAGAATGGGATGGGAGTGCTAATCCCATTCAAGTGGGATGGTGAGGCAGTGCCAGAGCCCAGTGCTTTAATAAACACCTGAAGTTTGTCACAGCCGTCCCACTGGAGTCACGGAAGCTCCAGATCAAGAGAATGTTGAGCTGTGCAGAGGTGACACGGACTTGGGTTTGATCCTTCTCGTTTCTCCTTTGACCAGGTGAAATGACCAAAGTGCAAGTGTTCGGCAAATGGCATGAGATTCCAAGGAAGCAGGTAACCTATGGAGACCCTGGGTTAACGTACACATACTCAGGCGTTACCTTCTCCCCTAAGCCGTGGATCCCAGTTCTGAACCGTATCAGAGAGCGCATCACCTCGGACACAGGACACACTTTCAATTTCGTGCTTATCAACAGGTATGTCTGGTTTCTGATTGCATCCAGCAGCTTGTGCAAATGGAAAGCTGCTTGTGCAGCCCTTGACACATCACTGAGGAGCTGTTTGGCGTCTGTTTGACAGGTACAAAGATGGTGAGGACCACATAGGTGAGCATCGAGATGATGAGAGAGAACTGGTTCCCCGCAGTCCCATCGCATCCGTGTCCTTTGGAGCTTGCAGGGACTTTGTCTTCAGGCACTGTGCTTCCCGAGGGAAGAACGCAACGCGACACATCAAACCCATCAAGCTGCAGCTGGCCCATGGGAGCCTGCTGATGATGAAGTACCCCACCAATGTGTATTGGTACCACAGTCTGCCCCCCCGCAAGAGAGTGCTTGCCCCAAGAGTCAACCTCACATTTAGGAAAGTGATGGCTATAGCCAAGAAATGAAATATTCAGCAATCAAGCTCCAGGTCTTTTAACTCTGAAAATAGAAGTTTTATTTCCCAAAGTAACTCAGTTTCTCATTCACTGTCTTTGATGATCCAAGGTACAAATTAAACCAAGAGAGGAGACAGCATTCTCAGTAACTTGCTAATAAAGACTACAACTACTGATCTTAAATGCCAGGAATACTTTGTGAAGTGCTGCTGTAGCTCTGCTGATACATGTTTTTAATGAGCAAGACCCTTGTTTTGCTCAGGAGGAAGTTGGTTCTCAACTGGTCTGCATCTACCCAGTTTGTAGCCTCTGAAACAGTTTCTAATTACTGTAAAGTACAAGATGTGATCATTGGAAGCTGATGCTGTTCAACAGGTGACACTTTCTTGTCTGCTCTGTCAATAAGCTATAGTTTGCTTATTTTTTTAAGAATAAAATACAACAGACTGCCACAAAGAGGAAGAGTGCTAAGATACGGATGCAGTGAGTGTAGTGGGGCTGGCTGCATGTTTTAATCACTGTGTCTGCAGATACTCAGAGGTGTGAGTCGGGGTTCTTATGGTCAGTGGGAAGGAGAAAGCCGTGCAGGGACAGGGTCCTTTGTATAGAAACCAGGCAGCATAAGATGACTTTCTGGGGAGAGGCTGGGTTGGACCATTTACATCTGGGAAAGGCTGTGCCTTCTGAGAGTGGTTTTCTAAATGATTATCCCTAGGGATCCATTCTGACTGCCTGGAAGCCATCACCTTCCATGCTCCTGGTGAATCCTGAGGAGATGAAGGACCTTCCAAAGTCACCAACAACAGGTCTTGTGATGGTGAGTACTGAGTGAGAACATGACCTGACCCCAGTGTAACCAGGCCACAAGCACCTGAATTAGTGATGGGCTCTGTCCTTCAGTGCTGGGTTAGGACTGTGGAATTAACGTCTGTTAGACCATTTGGAGTGGGTGCTTCCTACTCTCTGCCACAGGAAATGCTATGTGTAGGTAAAAAGCTGCATGAATGTTGCTTATCCAGACAACTTAAAAGTGCTGCTTCTGTCATGCGTACCAAACACAGTTTGGCTTAGAGCTTGGTCTTCATTTCAAGACATTACCACATGTGACCAGCTACGTTTTTAAATAAGTTTGTTCTTTTATTGCTACTGTACAGTTACAAAAATACCCTGAAGTGAAAACACAACTTCAGACAGCAGTGCAGTGTCTGACTGATATCACACATCTGAAATAATGCACAGAATAATCCAAACATAGGGATGTCGTCTCGAAGCTTTTCTCAGATGGTCTTTTATATTTCATTAGTGCCTTCTCCACCATGGAAGCTTGTGAGTAACAAGTATCACTATTTGATGAGCCTTAAGTTCCTGCAACAGAACCCAGTGGCTTCTGAAGGTGAGGGTTGGGTGGCAAACATCTGCACAGGTCTTTGATGCTCACAGGAGCTGGGAGTGTCCAGCACAGCTCAGGACCAAGGTGCTGATGCTCCCTTCGTCACACCAAGGGCTTAGCCAAGATCATCTACTCCTTCCTACTAGGGAAAGCTAGAACAATGCTGGCTATTGAACCCTCATCTTTACAGCCCTTGAGGCAGCTTTTGGAGTAAATCTGCAGCTGGGTGCAGTGGAGCAGTTATTTATCAGTTATTTATCATTCTCATCAAGCAGGCCCCTGTCGGAAAGCAGCTCTACACAAAATACATTGAACATAGAAGCTGGCAGCAACACGTGGCTTTATGTCTCTGGTACAAGCTGACAACTTAGTCCATTGTGTGCACATGTTCTGACCCACCTCCAGCATTGCCCAAGCACCCTGTCCAGACAAACCTCTCCAAAATTCACTTAAAAACCCTAAACAGACCATTGAGAACAGAGAATACACACTGCTGGCAGTGGAAATGTTCTGAAGCTGTGAGGTACAAATGGGATACCTGCTGGAACTGGGTGCTTTGCTTGATGTCTTCCATGACTTCATAGAGATGCACACCAGAGCTGCCCGGAATGGAGGGAGGGCTTTCACCTTCCACAAGTCCATTAGCTCTTAGGTCAGTGGCCCTGTTTGGCATTTTGCATCCTTCTAGTGTTTTTTATTTATTCTAGTGTTTTGCTTGTTGCTTTTTCATAACTTAAAATAGAAAGGTTAAAACCATGCTACAGCCTAGCACAGAGAGGGAGACTCCTTAGGAACTAGTACATCAGTGGATTTATAGACTATTTTATGTACTGTGAGCATTACTTGGAGCAGGAATTGTGATCCATACTCTGGAATGATGAGTTTTGTAGATAGTTTTGCATACACATCCATGGCCACTCCTATTTTGGCTGGTTTCTTGGAGGAGCTCTGGATGTGTGTGAGCTTTGGGCAGCAGTGTGAATACATGAGGTACAAAGTTGCCTTAGAAAACTATGAGGACAGTTGTTAGCACTGGAAAACTTAGTTGCTGTTTTACATTGTGAAAGCTTGTCTGATGAATGATGCTTTTTCTCCTCCAAGCTCACAAGGATGGAAAAGAGCTAAAAGGAGCCTACATACTTCATCCCTGGTCATTTAAAAGCAGTCAAAAGGATCGGGTTTGCTACTTCTCCCTCTGTGCTTAGTTTGGGGTTTGCTTTTCTCTTACACCTCACACAATACAGAGCAGCAGAGCGCAATTCCCTTCTATTCCTGCAGCAACCTGTGTCTCGTGCAGCACCACCAGGCTTTGCAGGCTGCTGTATGACTTCTCCAGGCAAGTGAATGCCCCCAGTCCCAATTCAGTCATGTAATCTCTAACTTCCCAAGGGGGCTCTCAGCTCACAGTCACAGCCAGCACAAGCTCAACAGCAAGGCAGACAGCACAGATCTGAATGGTCTATGAGAAATGGCAGTTTTCAGCATTAAAATAGGAAGGGCAAGTCTAGAACACGAATTACAGTAGCCTTGAAATCACAGCATTAAAAGTTGTAGTCAATACTACAAGCAACTGTATTGAACAGTTTCAGAGTGACAAGGAAATGATAATACTGGTCACCAGCAAACGCTCCTGTCTCTTGAGTTCAGCCATGTTCCAGAGACAGAACAAATCAGGGGCTCAGCTAAAATAGATTAAAAACCCCTCTATTTTCTCCTGGAAAAAGGAAACTGCACTTTGCATCAGCAGATGTACTTCTGTGATGTCTGAAGAACTGAAATATCAGGAAGATGGTGTGAACAGGAAGTTGGGTTTTGGATCATGCATGTTATGTAGAGATGCCTTACTTTACCAGTCAGCTGGGATATCGAGATCTGGTTCCATTAACAGTTCATCCCGTCATCTCGAGACATTTATCAGAACACAACACACGCAGTGGACTCAGACAATGGTGATGTAGCTCTTCACATAGGCTCAAGGCACTTTGTTTCTTAAATCATTGCCTTTGATAGCAGAAGCTCCTGGGGCCACCCTGTTCAGAAATATCTGCAGTGAAATGTGTAGGAGTAAGCATCTCCCTGTGAAAACGTACATGTATGGCAGAGTATGGAACACAGCCCTGGGAAGTCTGTTTGCAATGTCTGTTTCAGAGCTGTGATGTTGGCAAAATCACTACCTAACAGAATAAATACTCCTTTAATACAGCTCTGCTCCGGGCTGCACAACATCAGCAGACCAACTTTGGTACAGACACAACTCCCAACAGGAGCCAGCCTTTGCCATAGAGGAGGGGAAGGTTAAAGGGCCTGTGGTGGGTTATTTGCATAACAAACAGGAGGTGCCAGGTAGACCTCATTAGAGGGATTCTGTCAGGTTTTGTCCTAATTCTGCTCTCTTCATCACTCTTCAGCCTTTGATGCCAAGCTCTGGTGCTGTACCCTGGAGTGAACACGCTCATAGAACAGCAGGTAGGCACTGCAGGAGAGGACCTCCTGCAGGCTGGCTTTGCGGACGGTGTCGTCTGAGATCCACAGCCACTGGCTGCTGACAGCGAAGGGGCTGCGGGGGGAAGGCGGGGAGCGACGGTAGGTCACAAAGTGTCCCGAGTGCATGTCGCCGTGGTGAACCACCACTGCCATCAGGCGGTAAAGGTACACGGGGGAGCTGAAGGACACACAGAAACGGGAAAAGGTCAGCATCACACCTGGACCAGAAGCAGCCCCAGTTGCTTTGTCTTCAGCTGCAGTTTCTTTGTACAGCAAATCAATGCTGTAAGAGACACGCTGCCTTGCAATTACTTTTCTGTACAGCAAGTACCCACTGCACTGCTGCCTTATTCTATTCCCAAGAAAACCATTTATTTTAAGAGTATATGATATAGAGGGTTACTGTGTTCTGTACAGCATCATTTGCAACAGCATGTTCCATCGAACCTACCAAAGTGCCACTGCTCCGTTCTTAAAGCACTGTTACTGGAGAGAAAAGCTATTACAGAAAACTCTGCTTTTAACCAAAAAGGTAAAATTGCAGCAGATAATTGTGATTTACTGCAAGCAGAGAAAGGAGATTTTGAGTTCTGCTTGCAGCAAATTCTACTTCCATGGAGAAATGGAGCCAAAGAGAACCACCAAAAATCAGCCAAGAGAAAAGCAAGTATTTCCACACAGAAGCTGGGGTAATGTGAAATTCGGTGACTGTGCAGCCTCCGAATGAAAAGAGAATAAAGGAAGCTATAACTGGAAGGGAGAGAAGGTACATGACAAGATACAACCCTAACTTACCTGCATTCTGGGAATGCAGCAAGTGGGAAAGCTCCCGAGGACATTAAAAAGGAAGAGGGGCAGGCACCATTCACAAAATGTGGTTTAGTGCCTGATGGTTGTTCTGCACCTGCAAGAGAAAGGAGCCAATAACTCAAATGCTACTATTAGTATTGCTAATAACTGCAGGTGCTTCTGTTCCTGCAACACACCACAGAATACAAAGGTGATTTATTGACTTTAATTTATGACATACCACAATCCCTTGGAAGATGCCATTCCCAGCACCTTATGCTTGTCTTGAAGCCTTAGAAGACATCACTAACAAGTCCCTAGGACTTCCCTGTTCAACATCCCTTCATCCTTTGGTTATAAATCCTGTTCTGTGCTGTCTGGGAATTTTTGTTTGTAAGGTTTAATATTTAAAAGGATCAAATTAAATTATCAAAAGAGAACTGTAAACTTGGAGCAGGGGATCCTGATGCTTGCTGGAAAAGGGATTTCTGTCTGTCCTCTTTGCATAGATCTAAATAAAGATACTGCTTTCGCATTCATTCTGCAGATTAGAATGGTTTATCACTGAAATGCAGAAATACCTGATCTGGTTTATTTCACAGTACCTGCAGGTTTCACTGCTATCCCATCCTTTGTTCCAGGTGCTGTCTCGTCAGACTTCTTCTGATTCAGCTCAGTCTGGCTGGACTTGTGAACAGGAACGTGGTATTTGTAGATGTCCATGATGAGGAACTCATTGAACTGCACGTGTTCGTGACGCTTCAGAGGAGTGCCTTGGTTTGACCAGCTCAGTCTTTGCAGATGGATACACAAACACTGAGGGAGCTTCAGCAATATTCCAGAGAAAAGGAGAGTCAAAATCCCATTTTCAATGAAAAGAAACTGCGGTGCAAGTTAAAAGCATACTAAAGGACCTGGTGAGTCTAGTGGATAAGGAAGTGCATCACTGAATTGTTCCTTTATGTGCTACTAGAAATGTTCACTCCAGTTTGTTGGGGTGAATTGTAAGACATGGCTAATACTCAGTAAGTAATGGCTTTGCATAGAGAGAGTACCAGGGAGAAAGGCCAGGGAGTTACAAATGTCTGACATTCAAAGTCATGCCAGGGCTTACCTCTATCAATAAGTACATATTACTATTGATGGCACTGAGGATGAAAACATCAGGCAAAGAGATGAAATTGCTGTGTAGTGGGATTTAAAATAGATTTGGAGGGTTAACTTGCCTCACCTTTCCTAACTTTAATTGCTTAACAAATGTTGTTCTCTGGTTTTCTATGCTCTGTCCATTCAGAATCCCTTCTGCCTGAATCTGAAATCAAAAGAAAAAGAATAAAGCCATTTGATTACCCGCTGTGCTCGATTACACATAATAGTGCAGGTCTGCACACTGCAGACAAAAGTAATTCTCTATCTAGAACTATGCTTGGTGCATTAATAACACCTGCAGTTTTCTAGGAACTTTAAGAACAGTTGATCTGTCCTAATGGATCAGAACTGTAAGCCAAAATCAAGCCAAAAGGAGCATTTACAGAACAAGCCCAGTGCCCAGGTCTGTGTGTAATCACATGCCATTGCCGTTGGCTTTCCAACGAGCCACTCTGGCTCTGTGCTGTCATCAAACTACAGGCAACTGCTTAAAATACCAGACCAAAAAATTACCCCAAATATTATCTAAATAATACCTGGTAATTACAGAATCAAATACTTGTCATGTTTGTAATATTAGTAATAAATAAAGCTTTAAAGTAGTCTGTGAGCTAAGAACTCCATCTTAAATAGAAGAAATCCCAGGCAGGCGAGCAGCTTTCCTACAGTCATGAAGAAAAGAGTAGGACACTGAAACTTCAACTCTGTCAGCAGCTTCCAACTGAGCTAGAGGGTTACTTAAATGAAAAGGACATACTTTAGTGCAGTTGTCACACACCACATCCTTCACAGATTCAGAGGAGATGAAATGGTGGAGGCAGTGGTCCAGCGTCATGGGACGGCCCTTAGTACAAATGAAAACCACAGTTACATGGAGTAGGTTTAGGGTGCATGAAACTTACTTTTGTGAAAGGATTTTTCCTTGTTTCTTCCATAGAAACTACAGGATTGCGTGCTTCTTGAGAAAACTGACTAAATGGCTTTGAGTGTAGAACACTGATAATGTAACTATGGGGATCATTCTTTGGCCTGGATTAAACACCAAAAACATTCCAGCCTGTGGATAAGAACAATGGCTGAGGCCCCCCAGATCTGCAGTGTTTTGCCATTCACTGTGTTTCAGACAGCCATAAAGAAACAGAAACAATTCCAGTTGCAATCACTCAATCCAAGAGCCTGTGTTGGGTAACTTGTGTGCTATCACCACAGAGACAAAGCATCTGAAGGTCGACTGCCAGAAACAGCCCTCAGGATGTGATCTGGTCTGTTCACATTGCACAGAAAGAAGCAAATACCCTACCAGGAGAGGCAGAAAACTCCTGGAGTCAACAAAGTCATGCTTGTTGTACTCACTGGTACAACAGCATGTTAGTGATCAGGTTCTGTATTAGCAAAACACGATCATTTCTGAAAAGGCAAGTAAACAAATTGTGGCTTCTCATTTACCTTAGGCTGGAGCATCTTAAAAAAGGGACTAATGAAGCTAACGCTGTGACAACAAGGCAATAAGCAGACTGGCTTGGGGTCAGGGAGAGATACGTACCCACACAGCTGCTGGAATGCTCAGTGAGAGACTGTCAAAGGTATCGTACCTCACAGGGCTCTGCACGGAAACATTTCACACACCCAGTGAGATGAAATTTAGGATAATCCACATAAAACAACCCCAAAACACCCCAGCCTCACACAAGATGAACACATGCTCCCTGCTGTCCATGATGGTCAGTAGAATGAGGTGAAACCCTCCATGTTCCAAGTACCAAAGGTGCAACTTCGCCTCTCTTCTGCCCCGTGTTTGTAAGGCTTTGAGAAGTAGGAGTACAAACTCCTCCAAATGAGATTTACTTTCTGTATCTTTTTCTTTACCCAGATTACCTTCACCTCCTTCCTCTGGAGAACTGGACTGCAACTGAATCTGGCTTTGCATGTGCCATCTCAACACTGCATGTGGAATGACTAGCTAGTCCTAAAGCACTACCCACGTGAGTGGATTTTCAGTATGTGGTAGCTGTGGGATTGAACACTAAATATTCAGCTATTATTCTGTGTAAGACAGCTCTTAGACCCACAGAATGGATCACGCAATGGTCTTCAGTATATTTAGGGATACATTCTTGTTCACCACCAACGCCATTAGAAGTACCTAAAAAGTAACAGTCTGAGCTATCAGTCCTGCAGGTCTTTAGTGCTTAAACCAACTATGTCAGCAACAAGGGATGGTGGTTTCACAACCATCCTTTTTCACACACACCTATTACCAGACGCACATTCTCATACCTGGCGTTCACAGTGTTTGCAAACCATGTTGCTGGTGAGCCTTCCATGAAAAGGATGTGGAGACTTCCAGTGATTTGACACGAGAGGAAGAGATCCTGAAACACAAAGTGGAAATTGTCCTTTTATTTTCAATGCATCTTGTGTTCATCACTACAAGTCTACATTTTTGGTCCACTGTAACAAAAGTAACTGCTCTAAAACATGTTCTGTCTCACTGACACACAATTAATGGGTTTTTAACAGCTGAAGAGATGTATTTCAGTCCATACAGACAAAGCTCAATCAATATTAACCCCTTAATAAACACAGTGACTACACTATGAATATTCATGTCAGAATGGAAAAAGGCATACCTCTTGTTCTGCAGCTTATTTGCTTTTGGGTTATTTCTGGCTGCTACAGAGGAAGATAAAAGATTTCATTAACCCTACCTTAGAAAGCACTGAGCATTAAATATGTTCTTATTTCATCCCTAATACACTTTTCTGCCATTAGAACAATTGTGTGGGCTTAGTGTCTCTATGTATTTGATGAAGGCCAGAAAACCAGGTACACAGCAAACTTGTAATTGACAAAAAGAACAATTCTAGTGAAGTGAATACTTAGGCTACAGAATCCTCAGTCTTGGAGTATAAAATAAAGCCATTTTTATAACCCTATTGTATCTATTTTAGCCAAAAAGTGATAGCAACTTCCCATCTACGTGAAGTTTGCCACTAACCTGGAGGTTGAGGTAAATTTCACCTCCAAATGGACTATTCCATAAGTGTCCATTTTGCAGTTTTCAAACCTCTTTCATGGGTCAACTCTTACAGATAAGAGTGCTTAGATGGACTGCCGTTCCATGGCTGTATTTCAGTCCCTATACTGAATGGCATTTAGGGCTGCAAAAGCCCTTGTGAAACTGGGATCACTGTAAATTCAGTGTGAACTCCCTTATGGAAATCATTTTTTTCATGCTTTAGATTCCCTGCCTTGTTGATTCATTTCTATCAGAGCACTAAAGAACAGCTTTTTAAACATAATGAAACATCTTCCATGTCTAAACAGACACTTTATCCTTGACACACTTAGGAATGTAGGCAGCCTATGAGACTCCTGACAGAAGACATCACCTCCAGCGAGTGCACATCGAACAAATGTGTCACACGGGGCTGACGATCCCGTTCGTCTTCTAGTGAAGAGGTAAGGACATGAAACAGTTCATGAGCATCCTATTAAATAGAGGCATAAGGCTTAGAGGAAGGAAAACCAAAAGATACCAAAACATACCCCAAGGAGTACTGACAAACAACTACTAGAGTAGGAAATTAAAGGAAAACTTACTGCTTAGAGCCCACCTCGTGTATTAATAGCGATTATTTGTGCATCTGCAAACTTCACCACGACAAAGGTGCAGATGTGACACTCGGGGCTGTTAGTACCACAGCTCCTTTAGTCCCGATCTGAGCACTGAGGTGGGCATCAGGCAGTCTAATGTGAGTTGTGTACTCACCTGCTCTTCGAATGATGAGATCTGCCACCTGTACATTCTTAGAACTTCTAAGAGGCAGCTTGCATCCAGGACATCATCTTCTGTTGCCTCTTGACAGGATAAAGCTGGAGACAGTGCATGTGAAAACGTCAGCAGGAGCCACAAAGAACAGTTACAACACAAACCATCCATTTAGACCGTGTGTTACTTGTGCATCATATAATTGATGACACGCCAGTTATTTTATGGCAGGCAATCACCATTAAAACTAACATGCTTAATTACCGTTCCCATCTGACTCAGGCTGACTGACCTCATATATTCTCCTCAGCTAACACCTATGCAAAGTGAACAGTTTCTCAACTATAATATAAATATTAATAACAGAAACACTGCCCAGAAAGACAAATTTGTACTGGCGGATTAGGTGAAAAATGGTACTCTACATGGCACAGAAATCTTTACATGCCCCATCATCCTTCCATCAGATAAATGTACACCATTTTAGTATGAACAACATCCCAAGACAGGAATGCTTCCAATGAAGTTTAAAACAAAACCCTGTGAGGAAAGCCAGGGTGAGCCAGCAGATTCCTTATACATTTTGTGTGCTTAAATAGGAGGTAGCTGATCCATGAATTCAGCACAGGGACAAGTCTCACACAGGCTACCAAATGGGGCCTGGAGGCTTTAGCATTTTTATCCAAGGTCATACAAAGCATCTAATCTAATAGTCCATATTTTTGGTAAAATAGCAAGCTTGGGAAGAAATGCTTTAATTATTTTATAATGCATTTGTAATAGAGAATTCTGAGTGCCTGTCTGACTGTGATAATATTTTCCTATTTAATTATGCTGAGTCCATATTCATACTGGTTTAACCCTTAGTCCTCTGAAGACCAAATACATTAAAGCCTGTGGCACTGGGTTCCATACCCACATTTTAAGCACCCCTGTTGCCCTCTACCTTGATTTATTCAACCCACTGCCCAACAGCTTCTCCTGTGCATGATGCTGGGGTGGCTGCTTCTCCACTGAATTCAGTATTTAAACTAAAATCAAATTAAAACCAGAATACAAGGCCACAGGAGCTGCCTTTCCTTAGGAAAGGAGGTGAGGAACGATAACAATTATGCTTAATATTTCCTTCTTAGTTTACCACATCATGGCAAACACTGCAGTACCTCTTAGGAGACGCAGCAGTGTGACTGACAGGTATTGGTGCTCAGTGAACTGGCTCTGCTCCGTCTTGTACTGTGCTGTGAACTCCTCCAGCCACTTGATGAAAGACGGGCAGGAAGATAAGCCTTGCAGCAAAGAGTTCATGAAACATGTGTTCCCCAAATTCAGAAGGCCAGGTACAAGCCCTACAAACAGAAGTGAGGGAGTTAACACTACAAAGTCTAGGCCAAAGTAGCTGTCTTTCAGCAGCAAGTGTTGTGTTAGGCATTAAAATTACATTAAAATGAAATTACCTCCATTTATTTAGTACTTGTACCCAAGGAAACCAGAAGACCCTGGTGTTTATGACACCACACCAATGTGTTTATATCCATGGTGGGCTCCTTGACACCAGTGTCGTATCTTTACATTTTCCTGGAAAAATACCCTGTTTTTCCTGGTAGGAATAGATTTCTATCAGCAACACTCAGGCTCAGCAAGTTCCCACAGAACTATAGCTTTCTGGCTTACAAAATATCTGTAGGAGGCCCCTGTTGTGCAAGTTTACAGGATCAGTGCTGCCCCAGTGCAGCCTTGGCCCGGTTTGGTGCAGCTTTCTCTCTGGTCCAGATCAGCAGTTCGGGATCTAATCTCCTGGGCTGCCAGGGACTGATAAGAAATATGTCTGTGCTACTGCTCAGCACGAGACCTTCGCTTCTCTTGTGCTCATGTTCTGTAAGGACACGGCTGTGCTGCATTCCAAAACACCAAATGCAGTGTGTTATCTGCAGCTTGTCACAAGGCAGGAAAACATAAGAGCAGGGATAGGACATGGCCTTAGGCTGAAGGCCAGGAGATTGAGCTGAGCTCTTAGGCAGAAGCTCTTCCCTGTGAGGGTGCTGAGGCGCTGGCACAGGGTGCCCAGAGAAGCTCTGGCTGCCCCATCCCTGGCAGTGCTCAAGGCCAGGTTGGACACCGGGGCTTGGAGCAAGCTGCTCCAGTGGAAGGGGTCCCTGCCCGTGGCAGGGGTTGGAGCTGGATGAGCTTTAAGATCCCTTCCAACACAAACCAGTCTGTGACCCTATGAAGAACGCCAGTTGGTACAGTTAATACAGTGTATAAGCAACAAGACTCCTATGCTCAGTATCTATGTTTTGAACTGGCTGCACTTCTAAACAGGGCAGTGACCGCAGTCTATGCTGCCGCGATAAAATCACCTCCAGGAGGTAACGCCGTGACCCGGGGACGTTCTCCAGACCCATGCACGCCGAGGAGCTGGGGCTCGGCCCCTGCCCTCCTACCTCTCCTGCGCCTCTTCCTCTCGGTGATGGGCCCCCACAGCACGTACATCCCCGCGGCCAGCGCCACGGCCACCCCCCCGATAACGCCCCAGTTCTTCATCGCTTTGTGCCTGTAACGGGAACACAAACCAACACCACCGGCGGTCGGTACCTGCGCCTGCACGCACACGGGCCGAGGGGCCCCGGAGGCTCACACCGCTCCCCCGTGCTCTAACGTCCAACCCCCGGCACCGTTCTCAGTGCTTGGTGCCTGGCCCTGAGGAAGGGAAGGGCCAGCCCCGGCCGCTGGTTCTGCTGCACCGCCCGGGCCGCCGCTACCGCGGCTCCCGCCCGCCCGCCCCGGCCCGATCCCCCCGCCCGGTCGGTCTCCGCTGACCTGGCCGCGGCCCCGGCCCGCAGCAGCCGCCGCACGGCGCCGCCCGCCTCCGCCACACCGCCGAGCAGCATCGCCCCGCCGGAACCAGGGCTCCGCGGGCGGGCGGGCGGCGGAGCGCAACGGGGAACGGAACGCCGGAAGTGGCGCGAGGGGGGGCGGTTAGAGCGCGCACCGCCCCTAGCAACGGGTGGCGGCGGGCGCTGGTCGCTAAGGAACACGCGGGCCTGCGCTATGAGCCGGTACCGGAGCAAGCCGCGCTCACCGGCACCCGCGGCACTGCCGGGGGTTAACGTGGTGCGTGGGGACATGTAGGGACAGGCCAAGGGGAATGGCTTGAACCTGCCCGAGGGGAGACTGAGCTGAGCTCTTAGGCAGAAGCTCTTCCCTGTGAGGGTGCTGAGGCGCTGGCACAGGGTGCCCAGAGAAGCTGTGGCTGCCCCATCCCTGGCAGTGCTCAAGGCCAGGTTGGACACAGGGGCTTGGAGCAAGCTGCTCCAGTGGAAGGGGTCCCTGGATGAGCTTTAAGGTCCCTTCCAGCCCAAACCAGGCTGGGGTTCTATGGTTGAGGCCCCAGCTCCACTTGCTCTCCACCTCCTGCTGTCAGTTTGTTTTTAACCGATGCACTCTGCCGTTGTTTAGAGCAAGAAGCACTCCACGGCGGTGCCGGGAGAGGAGCACCGGGAGCGCTTCAGGCAGGGCTGGCACATGCAGGTTTTGAGCGCACCTCGAGATGGCAGCTGCTGATGGCCTCTGGGGGCTCCTCACACAGGTTAGTGCCAATGTAGACCTTGGATAGCGCAGTGTCTGGTACACACTGTATGTATGTATATATATATATATAGAGAGCATCTGTGTGTCCTGGATGAGTCCTGACACTGCTCCGCCTGTGCCAGAGGGTGGTGGCAAGAGGGGAGCAGTCTGGAGAGCAAGAGACCAGACAGCACAGGGATGAAGAGGCACAGGGCAGCAGCAAAGGGGAGGGCATGAGGCCATGAAGTCATCCCGACGGCTTCAGTGTCTGTGTGCAGTGTACCATCCTCACAGCTGCACGTTAACTACACAGGAGAAAGGAACCAGTGCGCTCAGAGGACCCAGCCTCACACCCCCAACTCACTGGACCTCGGTTAGGAAAGAAGTCACACAGCTGCTGTGTTCCACACCAAGAGCTGCGGCTTGGGCAACGAATGCAAAAGCTAAAACTCTGCTTGAAAAATGCCATTTTCTTGCAGGTTTTGGGGAGAAACAGCCCAGAGCCTCTGTGAGCTCATGTTCTGGGCATAAATCTCCCCCTGGAGCTGGGGCAGGCTGCTTGGTGAGACCTGAGCTCTGCTCCCCTCCAGAGCCTTCTGCGCAGAAGCTCCTCCCATTGCGCTGACTTCATCAGCAGGATCTCAGCCTGTGAATCAGGGCACACCTCTTGGATCATGTCAAGCATTGAGCTACGGTTTCTGTAACCCGCATTTTAACAGGAAACCTAAGTCTCAACAATCAGGAAGGTGGTGGCAGAGCAGTTTTATCTACCAAGGCCTGTTGCTTTTTAGTTGCTTCAGGGCCAGGCTGACTTTCATTGCAAAGGAACCCCTCAGCTCCCTTATGGCAACAAATCACTGGCGCAAGGGGGTCCTTCAGCCCAAAGGCCTCACCACCCAATTCAAAGAGAAGTGAAAGGGTGCGGAACCAAAGAGATTGTTTATGGAGATCTGTGTCTCAATGGCAAGAGGGGTGACAGAGAGCAGAGGGAGGCAGCAAACACATCCTGGACACGGTCTCAAAGCTTATTCTCTGAAAGAGCCTGGGTTTGAAATGGTTTTGAGAATCTATTGCAATGTATGTATGCATTTCATGCAATTAAAATTGGGGTTTATCACACTTTTAGGGGTTATTATTCAGTGAAACAGCCCTCGTGCCGGAGGTACCCACACAGTCCTGTGTGGTCCACAGGGGATACATGGGTACCTCAGACGGAGCCAGTGTCTACGTGTAGACATCCAGATCCGCCCCTAGGCACAAACAGTGCATTAAACAGTTGTCCTCAGCGATTTAAGGAAGCTGAAACCACAGCTGGGTCTGCTGCAAGCTCGTATGTCCTAAAACCTGTGAGAGTATTCAATGTTGAGTGTCACAAACGGTATCTGTGTGACAGCTGAACAGCCCCCATTCATCAGCTGAAGCCTGTTTGGTGTGTCTGAGCTCAGGCCAAGCCTCTTGCATCATCCCTTGTTCCCTGATCTGGATTTGTCCAAAGCCCCTCTCCAGGTTTCCTGTAGCCCCTTTAGGCACTGGGCGCTCTATGGCCTCTTGCAAATCACCTGCAGGATCCATCCCTGTGTTCTGTGATAACGGGATTTGCTGGGAGGCCCTTCCCGGTGTCCTGCAGTGTCCCCGGCAGAGCCCTCGCTGCCCCCCCGGGAGCGGGTGCATCCCACTCGGCTCGGCTTTCCCCTGCCCCTTCCGTTCCTCCCGGGCTCTGACGCTCCCGGGCTCCCTCCCGCCGATGCGCGGCCGGCACACGCTGAGCCCCCAGGGGGCGAGGACCGGCGCTGAGCGGGGAGCCCGGCTGGCAGCCAGCGGGGCAGGGACCGGGACCGGGACAGCGGTCGGCTGTCTGACGGGACAAGGCTGGCTGCCGGGCCGGTCCAAGCCGAGCCGGCCGGGCCGAGCCGGGCCGAGCCGTGCCGAGCCGGGCCGAGCCGAGCCGAGCCGTGCCGAGCCGAGCCGTGCCGAGCCGAGCCGTGCCGAGCCGTGCCGAGCCGTGCCGAGCCGAGCCGAGCCGGGCCGGGCCGGGCTGGGCCGAGCCGGGCCGGGCTGGGCTGAGCCAGGCTGAGCTGGACGGGGCCAGGCTGAGCCGCACCGAGCCGGGCGGCGCCGAACCGAGCCGGGCAGAGCCAGACGGAGCCGAGCCGGACGGCGTCAGGCTGCGCCGAACGTAGCCGGACTGAGCCGAACCGAGCCGGGTGGAGCCGAACCGCTCCAGGCTGAGCCAAGCGGAGCCGAGCTGGGTTGAGCCGAGCGGAGCCACTCCCGCGCCCCGCGGTGCGGTGCCGCCGCCGGAGCTGTCCAGCCGCCTCCCGCAGCCCCAGCCAGCCCCGCCATGCGGGAGCGATGAGAGCAGCGCCCGCAGACGCAGCCCGGCAATGGAGGATGATTTATTCCAGCTCAGACAGCTGCCGTGAGTAGCGGCCGCAGGGGAGCGGGCGGCGCGGGGGGATTGGGAATCCCGGCGGTTTTCCCGAGCGTTATCCCGAGGCAGCGCCTTAGGCCCCGGGAAGCAGGCCATTTTCCTTGAGCAGCTGCCCGGGTTCAGCATCCCGGGGGCACACGGTGATCCCTTCGTTATATAAACCCACTCGAGCTGCATTTTTTGCACCAACTTGGTGGTGATAGACATGGGAAAGGGTGGGATAAAACCGTGGGAGTCCCAAAGGGTTTTATTTGGGAGGAAGCATCCCCATTGCATTTGCAAGGTGGATTGCATCCGTAAATAACGCTGCGCTGGGGAAGGCATCTTCCCGGCTCCCTCCTTCACGCCATGCACTGATGGCAGCTCGGAGCCCTTTTGCAGAGGTGTGTTTGGGGTGAGTACCACCGCTATTTGCCCGCTGCATGTCTCGGAGAAGCCAGCATTGCTGCACCAGGAAGACGCTGGTATTCCCGAGAGCTCTCTGCTGTTGGGATGTGGTTGGGATCTGTGCAGAAGGGTGATAAAAGCTTCTTCACACCAGCATTTCCTTTCCTCTTCAGGAACGCGAAATGCTGCCTTTAAAATCGGTTCTCCTAATGCTCCATTATCAGGTGCTTTAAAGCATATTCCTATCCATAAATCCTTCACTGCAAGGCAGGGAATTAATGCTCAAAGTCGATTTGAAATATTAATGAGCTCATGTCAGTGACGGAGCCAAGTGTCCCATAACATTCCCAGTAAGTTGGGGAAAAGGACAGGCGCTCCGGTTGATTGCAGATCCTTGGTTTGGGTGCTGTCAGCTCAGCAGTGGAAGGAACAAACCAGGATTTCCCGAGGCCATTTTCCCCCATTCTTATTTCCCTAATAACCCACAGAAAGCTGTGGGTGTGATGAGATGTGCTCGGTGCTGCGGGACCCTGCAAACAGATGCAGCTCTCTCTGACATCTCAGCTGCCAGGAATCCTGCAGGGATGGAGCAGTGAATGCCGCTGGGTGCTGCTTTCTTCCTTTGTGTCGATGTGTCTCATAAAGTTCCTAAGTGCTGAACATGTGTTTGCTGTGATGGGGAATGTGGCCAGAGAGCTCTGTGCTCGCATTGCTTTTGGAGTACTTACAGCTTGTGTAGTGTCTGGAGCCACCATCTCCAGCATGGTCAGCTCCAAAAGTCCACTTCGAACACAGAATACAGGGTGATTGTGATCGGGTGCTTTAGAATCCAGAAGGATCTTACTGGCACCTTTATTTCGCCTGTGGCTTACAACAGCTGCCAGTGTCGGTTGTATGAATGATTTCCAGGCATATCCCATGGAGTGACAGCGCTTCAGACCTCCTAAATCCAGGGGAAAGGTGTTCATATCTTCAGTGAGCTTTGCACCCAGCTGCTGGGTTACAGCAATAGTCATCCTGTTAAAAACACATCTAGAAAAGTTTGTGTCCTGTGTAGTTAAACCAGGGGCTTGTGAAGCTCTTGCAAATAAGAGTTGAATGGGACTTAGATATTCACTGCTCTTTGTAATAGAAAGGTCATCTGTGGGCAGCCACGTTTCAGTGCGTGTTTGCTGAGAGGGTGTATTTTGTAGGTCGTATGAGGATTGTATCTTCAGTTTTAGGGTGAGAGTGATGATTCTTGTGTTTGTCCTATAGGGTCAGCAAAAGAAACTCCAAACCACAAGAGCTGGGGTTAAAAACCCAAGAGAATTGAAACTTGAGTTTCTCAATGGAACCAAATAAGAACCTGAACCCAGAGGAGCCTCCTTGTTTATCTCTTGAGTGGAGGATGCCTGCACACCTCAGTCAGAACCTGAGATAAGCCCTAGCTTCACTGCAGTCAGTGATGCTTTCTTGTTCATTTCAAAGAGGCTTGAGGTTTTGTTCTGTGTTCTCCTGTCTGAGACCTTCAAACGTTACCTGAGAAAACACAGTCTGTGGCTCTCTTGTTTGTCTGCCAAGATGTAGAGGCCAGAGAAAAGCTTCCAGTTCCTGCTGCAGATAGAGCATTGCTAAGTAGCACAAGGAGTAGTTGCCCCATGCAGGTCTTGGAATGCCCTGTTTAGCTGAAAGAATCACCCCGGTTGTCTCAAAGCCAGCAAAGCAGCTTGTTCTAAAGGTGAGAACCTCACCAAATGGTCAACTGGCTGCTGTCTCCATCCAGATTACTGCCAGAATATCATTAGTGAGTATGTGCAACTCCCCCGATGGGAGGGGGTCATGGAAATCCTATGTATATGTGGCAGGACCTGAGGGTGCTGGTTTGTATCACTGTTTTTGTACCAGAGTGTGATCCTAAGCTGGGCTGAATGGCTGGTGGTGGCCAAGGCTTCTCTTTGTAACTGAGCGTGACCGAGGTATTCATTCCTCCATCCTCTTGTCCACCACTGGACCAAGGTCCATTTACAGGAACAGATTGCCCATCACTTTGCTCTTATATCGAACATTAGTTGTGTCACCAGCACTTCTAAGAGAAAGTAAGAGTTGAGATCTTGCCAAGCAGGAAAAGTCTTTCAGCTCACCCTTACCAATGTCATTCCATTGCTGCAGCTGCACTTGGCAAGGATGCTGATAGTTTGGTTTTGCTGACCCTTAAACCAAAGGATTAAGCTGGAGTTCAAGAGGCTCTCTGCTACTCTGCCATAGAACTAAATGCTCGGGTGTTGGAAGTCAGAAGAGGCACTATCAGGACTCACTTTATCTATTTCCAAAGAACTCTTTCACTGAAGTCCAAGGCACTGTCAGTTTCCGAGGTGAGAGTTACACTGATGTGTAAGGGCAATGGCTTGAACCTGCCAGAGGGGAGACTGAGATGAGCTCTTAGGCAGAAGCTCTTCCCTGTGAGAGTGCTGAGGCGCTGGCACAGGGTGCCCAGAGAAGCTGTGGCTGCCCCATCCCTGGAAGTGCTCAAGGCCAGGTTGGACACAGGGGCTTGGAGCAAGCTGCTCCAGTGGAAGGGGTCCTTGCCCATGGCAGGGGTTGGAGCTGGGTGAGCTTTAAGGTCCCTTCAACCCAAACCATCCCATGGTTCTGTGATCACAAACGCAGCCTGACCTGGAAAAGCCCCACTGCAGCATGAATCCTTGTTTGTGTGCTCTTAGGGTGGTCAAGTTCCGCCGCACTGGGGAGAGTTCGAGGTCGGATGAGGATGTCATTTCGGGAGAACATGAAATCCACATTGAGGGTGTTCGGACGCAGCTAGAGCCGATCGAGCTGGAGGATGGAGCTGCAGTGCCAAAGGAATTTGCCAACCCGACTGATGGTGAGTAAGTTTCTGTTCTCCTGTGAGGTTTGGCCTCTTCATTGCAGTCATGTTGTAACCAGGGTAATCCACTGGGTTTAGAGATGTTAAAGATCTCCAGATAGAAGCAGGTAGCAATAACACAGGCAAATTATGTTACACTTGAAAACCATGATTTAGTTACCTTGATCTCTGAGGGATGCTTCGCGTGGTTTTGGTTTATATTAGCAGTAATAGGCCCTTTAAAGGAGTTGTGTGTCCATTGTCACCGCCTCTTTCGTACAGGAGGTTTGACTTAGGTTCCTTTGGAACTGCTCAGAGCTCCTTAAACACTGCCAGGTTTGCTCATGGCTCACCTTCAAGGCTGAGCATGGAGCCTCTGCAGTGCTCCTGCCTCCTCCTTGCCTGGAGGACAAGAGGGACAGAATGAATGCACATTCCAGCCTCTCCCTGCACCTGGCAGAGCAGCGCTGGCTGCCCTGAAGGCACCACCGACTCAGAAGAGAAGTGTTGGTTTCCCCTTAGGAATACTACCATTCTGTAGGATGACTTTTCCCAGGGACTCGTTTATGACCATATTGATGCAAAAGGAAGCCAGAATAAGCTGGAATGAGCTCAGTGATTTTCTCAGAAGACTCAGGGCATCAACTCTGCACTTCTCTGTAGACTCTCAGCTGGCACATTGCCCACAAGAAGTGCAAGTGATGCTACAGTGGTGCAGAGCTTCAGTGCCCTCATGTGAGATGCCTGGGCTCAAGTCACAGACTGGGCTTCTTGTGACATCTCTGCTTGGTTTTAGCAGTTAGATCTTGTTTGAGTTGGTTTGTGGTCTTCTCTATGGCTTTGTGAGGATGCCCAGCTCTGGGCTTTGCTGTGTCAAACGTACTTGTTAAACTGCTGGAGGGGTTACAGCGTTGAGACTTAGATTGGTTTAGACAACCTGAATGTCAAACTGTACATACCATATGCATGTATGTGTCATAGTTCCTGAAGAACATAGAGCTTTCCTTGACTAGGAACTGTATAAAGCTAAGAAGCTCTCTGTTATATATTTTAGATCTCAGTAGAGTGCCCAGTGATTGCATTCAGAGCAAATCCTGTCTCAAGGGATGGCTCCACAAGGAGAGGAATACACTTCTGCACTGGAATTGTTTTCTTTCTAGATACTTTCTTGGTGGAAGATGCGGTGGAAGCCATTGGCTTTGGAAAGTTCCAGTGGAAGCTCTCTGTTATTACTGGATTAGCATGGGCAAGTAATTGTTATCAAAGTCAATGGCATGATTGTCAGTTAGACAACCTCAGTGTTGCCTCTCTATGCTGTGCACATCCACTGAGCCTATCCTGTTTCACCTGCGGGGTGGGAATGGCACAGGGCAGAAGCAGGGTTAATCTCAAGAAGGTTTGTTATTGGCTGCTGTGTCAATCTAATTCTTGTTTCTTTGTCACCTCTCTAGATGGCAGATGCTATGGAAATGATGATTTTAAGTATCCTAGCTCCTCAGCTTCATTGTGAGTGGCGATTACCGAGCTGGCAGGTTGCATTGCTCACATCGGTAGGAAAAATCACTGACAGCTCCTGTATTCTGTGAGGTTTTTGCACTCATTGTTATGCAGACATAATGCTTTGTATCCCGGGTTAAATCTGTTCATGGCCTTTCGGATTGCCTTTGGTTTGGAAGAATATAGGAGTCCCTGTTGAAAGTCAGAGGTTGAAGAAATGAAACTCAGAACTGAGGAAATTCTGCAAGTTTTAGGTTCAAAGTTTCGTGTGATTGACTCAGACTCATCCGAAAAGTCAAATAATTTGATTCATTGAATAAAGATTGGTAAAGTTTCCCATGTTTCTTGAAAACCTTTCTCTCTCACCACACTTAATCTTCCTTGTACATAGACACACCGGGAGCTGTGAGAGAGCACAAGCAACCGCTGTTTGAGGGGGATCATCCAGTGATCTTTGCAAGCAGAGCTTTTATGATACCATCTCCAAGTAGGATGTTGTGATGTTGGAAACATGCAATGCCCTTAGGGATGAGACAACTAGTCTGGGGACCCTTCTCGCAGCATATGCCCCTTTAGCTATTGGTGCCATTTGTGTTGTGTAAATAGCTACTGTTCAGTAGGTTTAAACCCGTTCAGATCATGGATTCTCTTTGCTGTCGCATGGATATTTGCACTTGCCTTGTGGTTAAGGGGAAGGTTTTTTCTCTGTTGCATAGGTGGTGTTTGTGGGAATGATGTCCAGCTCCACCCTCTGGGGAAACATCTCAGACCAGTATGGGAGGAAAACAGTAAGGCTTCAGCTCCTACTCCAATACGTTCTGATGTTTCTGGTGTGGGTATTTCAGTGCACGATGGTGACAAATGTCATAGTCTGCGTGCATCAAACAGAGCAGAATAAACCTCCCATTAAATAAAGGGAATTTGAGGCTCTGCTTTGCGCTTTGTTACTTTGTGTTGCAGCAGAAACTCATCTCCTCCTGCTTGTTTGTTAAATACAGGGCCTGAAGATCAGCGTCTTATGGACACTGTACTATGGGATCCTCAGCGGTTTCGCCCCGGTGTACAGCTGGATCCTGGTGCTGCGGGGCCTGGTGGGCTTTGGGATTGGAGGAGTGCCTCAGTCGTAAGTAAATATTCACAGTCCAGACTTTCTCTTTTCTATGTGTTTTTATAGGTGCTTAATGTGAAATTGCAGCCATGTGTCTGTTCACTTGTCCCAAACCCGCTTGATTCTATTTTGGAACTAATATATTAAACTCTGAGAGGGCTTTGAGCCTAATCTAATACATCACAGAGGTGAATCAGATTTACAGACTTATGTGTGAGCAAGCAGGGTTCTTAACTGTGTTATGTTATATGCCTTAAGTCCTTTTAAGCTTCTCTCATTCCCTCGTGGTGAAAATGAGAGGCCCAAAGAGCCCAGCTTGATGTGTGTAAAACACCCAAACAGCATTTTGTATCTGTGCCTGCAAACTGCATTGCTACATCATACAGGCAGAGTCCGTAAGGGACAACACGCTCTTGTTGCAGCACAGATTGTGCCCTAAGCTCCATAGGGCAGAGCTGAGCCCTTACTCTGGGTTGTAAAACTGCGGGTTATTGTTCAGTCAGAGCCTGAACTTCCACGTCTGATCCTGAGTTGGAATTCCAAACCCACAGAGCCTGACCCTGGAGCACCGGAGATACCTAATGTAAAGGTAGCATCAGGGTGTTCCTCTGTTACTGTGCCAGTCCATTCACTGAAGAGGGGGATCTCTAAGTTTTCCACCTGAAATAAATAGCTCTGTTCTAAGCTTTTAATTATAAATGTAAAGGGAAGAGTACAGCCACTTTCTCTCCGTGGAGTCTTTTATCCTCATTAATAATGGATATTTTGCCCCATGGAGGTGCTATTTCAGGATAGTCAGAGTCTAGCCTTGATTGATGGCTCATAGACTTCTTCACAAGACAAGTCAATATCCTGCCTTTTCTATTGCCCTTCCCACAGCAAAGATTCAGAGCTGAGATGGAACATCACAGCACTATTCCTTTTCCTGACTGCTCTCCTGCCCACCTTTAGCAGCTGCACAGGGTGGAATGTGTTTGTACAACAGGGAAGCCCTTTGCATGCTGCCTGTTGACCACCAGCGAGGCAGGTTCTGCCATGCAGCTCCCACTGAGCACAACTGGAATGAGGCAGGAGAAGAGCAAAGACAAAGCAGTAACACCTTGTACTGCAAACACCTATTAGTGGTGTTCACAGAGCCCCTGGTGAGCAGCCTCAGCCCAGCCTATGCTGCTTTACCGAGGGGCAAGTAACACACAAAGACTGCAGGACTTAATGAGAGACAAAGAAGAGTGGATTCCATCGGCTTCTTATTCTACCTCTGATACCAATATGGAGTATTCTCTTAAGAAAACAGGTCTGTACAGCATTAATCAGCTCCTGTTTCCTGCTGCAGTATACAGGGACTGCTCTAGTTTCATCATGTGATTTTAGTTCCTTCTCTCAGCACTGATTTAATATAATGCTGTGTGCAGCTTTAACAAACTGAATTCTAGGGAGCTGCTCAGAGATCAATCCCCCATTTGTGGAGTTAGCAGGAATTTTTGTCACATGCATCAAAGAAAGCCCGAGGAGCTCAGGAGCAGGAACAGGATGAGTCAATGGGATGCAAAGAGTAGGAGCAAAGAGTGACCAAGTCTTCCCTTTGAAGAAGGCAAGAGAGCCTTGGCTAGCTGCTGGTCATAGAATCATAGAATGATTTGGGTTGGAAAGGACCTTAAGATCATCCAGTTCCAACACCCCTGTCATGGGCAGGGACACCTCACTCTAAACTATCTCACCCAAGGCTCTGTCCAGCCTGGCCTTGAACACTGCCAGGGATGGAGCATTCACAACCTCCCTGGGCAACCCATTCCAGTGCCTCACCACCCTCACAGGAAAGAATTTCCTCTTTATATCCAATCTAAACTTCCCCTGTTTAAGTTTTAACCCATTACCCCTTGTCCTGTCACTACAGTCCCTAATGAAGAGTCCATCCCCAGCATCCCTATAGGCCCCCTTCACATACTGGAAGGCTGCTATGAGGTCTCCACGCAGCCTTCTCTTCTCCAGGCTGAACAGCCCCAACTTTCTCAGCCTATCTTCATATGGGAGATGCTCCAGTCCCCTGATCATCCTCGTGGCCTCCTCTGGGCGTGTTCCAACAGTTCCATGTCCTTTGTATGTTGAGGTCCTTGTGTTCATCCTCAGGAAACACTCCCAGAGAAGCTGAGCCATTCCTCTTTGGCACAGTCATGAAACAAAGGCTCTGCGGAGCGAGAGGATTCCTTTGTGAAGCCCCACAAGAAACGAATGCAAGTGATTTTGTACCAGTAACAGGAGCAGACCTGGAACGTCTTGAACAGAGAACGGAAATCTGGCAGCACAGACTGATGTGAAAGACCACATCAGTTGTGGAGCCCTGAAGAAACAACAGAGAGAGTTTGTGTTGGATGCTGATGGATCGCATGGAACAGTTTTAATGCCTGTCCCAGGGCACAGCAGGGTTGTGAAAACATGCAGCAAGAGCTGCTGCGTTTAGCTAACAGCTACAGGGTTACAAAATCACACAGACAGAGGGCATTCTGCCCTCCAGCGCAGTGATGAACTAAAGGGGTTTCTGGTACCACTATGGGCTTGGCAATTTCATTAAGAGGCAAAGAGCATGTTTGAACCTCTCTGCCTGTGCTATCATGCCATTGCTCTCTGTGCTATCGTGCCATTTCTCTCTGTGCTATCGTGCCATTGCTCTCTGTGCTATCGTGCCATTGCTCTCTGTGCTGACATGACATTTCTCTCAATGTTCACTCTTTGCAGGGTAACCTTATATGCTGAATTCCTTCCAATGAAAGCCAGAGCAAAATGCATTTTGCTAATAGAGGTGAGCAGTGTGGCTCTGTCCCCAGAGGGACAAATTCTGCTGTTGGTTACATCCATTCAATCCTACTGACCAGAAACATCACTCACAGCTGCAGTCAGATCTTGCTTGTCCAAGTGAGTGTGGAGCTGAGGTTGCACCGTGCACGAGTGGTAGCTCAGGTCCAAAGCAGCATAAAGCATTCATGTAACATTCCACTCTTTGTACCTTGACTTGCACCCAGTGCTGGGTAAGTTAATGCTGTTTGCACAGGGGGATATTTGGGTGTCACCTAATTTCGTGGGGAAATTAATCTGAACTCAGTAATGAAGAAGGGAGAACTGACTGTTCAGTAAATTCAGGGCTAAATTCAGCTCCCCATATTCAATCCAAATGCATCAAAGTCACAGAGAGCAGGATTTTGCCCTATAAATACTTAAAGGCAAAATTCCCAACCCTGTAGTGAATGGTGGAAGGGGCAGAACAGTGCTGCTATGGAGCATCCTTGTGGAAAACCTCTCCAGATTCAACCAGCTTCTCAATGCAAACCCAGTCTCTCAGACACCTGCTGGCAAGGCCTCCGTTGGGTTGATTAACACTTCGTAAGTAGAATTCAGTAGCTGAAGTGCTCCTTTCTGTGTTGCTTCTGTTCTGCCACAGTTTGGCTACCATTGAGCAGCCTTGGGTTAGAAGTATATTCTGAGGGTTAAACGATAAGCTAAGTGGGTTCATAATCTAAAGGGGAATAAACCAGCATGGGCAGGATATGCAAGAGGATGCCAGCTCCATTATTTGCTATGAAGGTATCGATTCCTTCTTTCATCTCCAGGCCAAACTCTGTGGCTTTGGTAGCTTGGTTTTGGTAAGGAAAACTAATACCATAAATCTCATGGTGGTTGCTGGGAATAATACTCAAAAACATATAAATTAATAGGAATTTTGCTGTAGAAACAACATGTGAAGAGCCCCTTGCTTATGAGGAGCTACCGACAGCTCAACACGAGTGTCTAGAGAAAGGGGATGCTGGGCTTTCAGAAATGACCATTTCAGCTCCTGCAGCATTTAACCAAATCCCCTGAAAACAGACTCTGTTTCCATACAGGAGCCTGTGTTTGGAACGTCTCTGGCATTCCTCTGTCTTGTCATGGAATGCTACAAAGCAGGAGGCCTGAAGAGCCCTTCTCATTTGTGACTGTTTCTCTTCCCTTTGGCAGGTCTTTTGGGCCATTGGAACTGTGTTTGAAGTCCTCCTAGCAGTGGTGGTGATGCCCACGCTTGGCTGGCGCTGGCTTCTCGTCCTTTCTGCCCTCCCTCTTCTGCTCTTCGCTGTCCTGTGTTTTGTAGGTATTCTGTCAAAGCCAAATCCATGTTCCATCACTTCTCTACCTGATCCTGCAAGCTGACTGAAGGAAATCAGGGCAGTTTTAAGCTCTCTGTTGGTGTCTTCTTTGAAACAGCTGAAATAGTGGCAAAAATGCTGTTATTTCAACAGGGCACTGCTGAAAACCTTCCAAAGAGAGCTGTGTCTGTGTGGCTGTCCTTGCTGGAGGACAATGGTGGGCTGGGGTTGTGTGAAACCAAATCAGGCCTGGAAACCTCTTCAGTTTAGTGACTTTGTTTTAGCTATGCTCAGTGGGATCAACATCTCATTAAAAGCTGTTGCTATTTCCTTGCTTTGTGTCAAAATCATCACTTTTATGCTTATTGGCCACTTAAAAACCCCCACCCAAGTCAGGGGTAAAATCTACACAGGGCAGGTCAGATCCTAACGCAAGGTGTATATGAGTTAAAGGTCAGCATCAGTGCACTGTGAGGTAATGCATTTGCCTCAGAGATGCGTGTCCTTGTCAGGCTGTTCAGCAGCTCTGCTTGTTCCTCAGTCACTGACATTGGTTTTCAGACGTATCTCCAGTTATACAGGTGCTTGTTGTTAAAAGGAGCTCAAAAAGGAGTTTGGGAATGCCCAGAGCATCTTGTCCGGGATGCTTTGCCTTTCCTACCGAGGAGGTATAATGTAAAGAGCCTGCAAAAATGCCTAATGGTTCTTGAGAATAAGCCTAAGGTAACAGAAGGGAAAGATGTCAGCCTGGAGCTCTGGTTTCATGGTGAAAGGGGGGTTTTGCAGGGTCTTAAAGCCTGCTGAGGAGATGGCTCTGCATTCTTGAAGGTTAGTTCTGTAATGCAGTTAGTGCTGGAGTCACTGAGCTTTCCCACTGGGAGCCCACAAAGGAGCCCCCCAGTGTGTTTATTGCTGTGTTCTTGCCACCCTTGAGCATCTGATCTGCTTTGCTCTCTTAGTGGCTGCCAGAAAGTGCCCGGTATGATGTGTTATCTGGAAATCAAGAGAAAGCAATTGCCACTTTAAAGCGGATAGCAACGGAAAACGGAGCCCCGATGCCTTTGGGAAAACTAATTATTTCCAGGCAGGTACGTACAGGCACGGTAACAGTGGGACAGTTACATTCATGTGTGTTCTTACAAGCAGATAAACAATGTGAAGTTTAATTGTACTGTCAGAACAGGGGTTTGTCTGTGCCTTTGCCACAGGGAGGAAGAGTTGGTTTCTCAGGTTTAATTACATGAAAATCCTGAAAGGGAAAAGGACTTTTAAAGTGGGTATTGAAGTTCTTTAACCTCACTCTGAGCCCTGATGATTTAAGGAAACTCAAACCTTGAGGCTGCCAAAGAGATCTGAACTCCTGAGACAAGCTGGAATTCGATTCTTGGGCTCATTTTTAACCTGATCCTGATGTTCTGCAGTGAGAGAGCTGCAAGCTCCTACTGCATCCTAATGCATAGAGTGATTCAGGCTGTTGCTTGCAAGCTGTATGTTATTGTGGGAATTCACTGGGGTCTTTTTCCTCTCAGCTTTACATGGCCAACTTTTCGGCACCCCATCACCACACAGAGCAGCTTCACAGAACAGAGACTTCTATAAGAAAAGAAAGTTACAAAGTTGGCCCATGAGGAAGGGCAGCAGAGGAAAACCTGTAGATACGAATGAGGGCAGAACTGTAAAGCTAGGCAGACGTGGAGGTCTGCCTTTCTAAGGGCTGGATCAGGGAGGGTTTGAGCTCTTGGGTGTTTCACAGAGGCTTGGCTCAGTGATGGTCATGCCGATGGGCTCAGCAGGACCAGGGGCCAAGCTTGGGATGGTTTCGTTTTCAGGGTGGGGTGGGAAAGTGCTTTTCCTTAAGCACAAGTCCATGTGCTGAGCCCTCCACTCAGTTCGAAAGGGAGCTGCTCGCAGGAGGGCTGCTGCTGGCTCCTCACTGCCTTCCCCTGGATCAGAAGCCCTGAGGGGCTGCTCTGATTTACAGGAGCTGGCCCTGGGCCCCATGAATCCCATCAACCTGTGCATTGGCCAAGTCCTGCTCTTTGCAGCCCCACCTTGTTCCGACAGGCTCCTTGGGGAGGAGCAGTGTGTGGGTATGGTGGTGGGCATGAACTGGTGCTGGTATTGTTCTGCTCCTAGAGACTTCCCCTTGGCAGAGGAATTCTTTACTTGGATCCCAGCTCCAGTGTGGCTCACCCTATGGCTACACTCATCCTGAGATGTAGTGTGTAGGACTGTGTGTTGTGTTATCCCTTGCCACTCTGCATCCTCCAGTCCAGGACCAGTGAATATCCTGACCCTCTGACTTCTGCTTCTTTTCAACAGGAAGACCGAGGGAAAATGAGGGACCTTTTTACACCCCATTTTAGATGGACCACGTTGTTACTCTGGTTTATATGGTAAGAAGAAATATAAACGGCCCAGTGCCAGCACAATTCTAAATGGGTTTTTAATGGAGGTATTTTACAACATCACTAAAATACAGCAAAAAACCCCAACCTGTATTGATTTGTGATTTATAAACCCACCCATCAGTAGCATTCCCAATCTAATTGCCGCATCGTTTTCTAAATGCTAAGAGGAAATAGCTTTGAGGTAGCACTTAAGTGGGAGTCCTCACACAGTGGGTTCAGTTGTGATTCATGGTGTTTCCTATAGGCTTGGCCAGCTAAGACTTCCTCTCTTGTTTTCTTCCTTGCAGGTTTTCCAATGCTTTTTCATATTATGGGTTAGTTTTATTAACTACAGAGTTCTTCCAAGCAGGAGACGTCTGCAGCAGTGAGTACTGCTCCATCTTTCTCTTAAACATACCCAGTTCAGTGATGGAATGTCTTTTAGGAGATCCCTTTCTGCTGTGTGGAAAGGACTGTGGCTCCCAGCTGGAATTTAAAGGATCTGCTTAAGGGGTTACTCATTTTAAACGTTTCTGATGGGGCCTATTCCTCATCCCCTGCACACTGCAGAGGGGTCCTGCACTGTCTGTGAGCCCAAAGTGTAAGGCAGGAAGAGAATGTTCAAGGGAGCCCTGTTAGCAAAGTATCTTTGTTCTTGAGAAAGAGGGGTTGGAATGAAGGTAAGGTTCCAGATCTGAGAGGCCTCGTTGGCTCGGAGAGAACTGCTGTGGCTCTCCCAGGTCCTCAAGATGGGAAGAAAGATGATGGTGGGGAAGCATTGCCCTTCTGTGGCAGGTTTTTGTAGTCAAGAGACTAAAAGTGCTTTGGCTGCGTTAGGAAGAGGCTGGAAGAGTCAGAGCCCCCAGGGGAGGTGGGATTGTGTTCACAACACCTGTAATAAGTGAAGGCTGTCTGATAGCTGGAAACTTACAGGAAGAGAAGGGATAGTATTGGGAAAAGACACGATCCCAAGCTTGTACACTGGTGTATTGCCTGTTGGAGAGGTCTGGCTCTGGTCAGCCTCCACAAAGGAGTATGCATTCATCAAAGATACTTGGTTTTACAGAGACACAGTATTATTGAGTCCTCTCGAAGTACAGCTGAGGTGTTAACATCCCAGTTTGTGCAGGGATAAACTGAATTATTGATGTTAATTCTGTCCATTGTCATGAGCTCTGGAGTGAAACCAAACTGAGCCTGTAGAGCTGGTGAGGAAGGGTGAGCTTTCACTGTGATAGTGCTGGCTGCACAGGTGTCACATCCTGCCACAAGTGCCATTAGAAACTGTTCAGGTCCAGCTGTATCCTTCAGTAGAACACCCATGCTGTGCAGGAGGGTCTTGTCAATACATCCCTTCTATGTAGTACATCCCTTCTATGTACATCCCTTGTCAGCAGCAAGAGCGATAAAGACAAAGCAGAAGCCAAGGAAGGGAAGCAGAGAAGAGGTTACTTAAAGTACACAAAGTGCTTGTTTTGTTCCTTTTTCCTCCCACAGTATCCAGTAAAAGGAAAGAAGTTAAGGCCAAGTGCAGCCTGACCTGTGAGTACCTGACAGAGGAGGACTACACTGACCTGCTCTGGACAACCCTGTCCGAATTCCCTGGTGAGTGGCAATAGGAAGCACTGGTTCTTCATGCCAGTGGCTCCGTGTGATTGGAATGGGCTCTGGAACAAGCAGGGAAATGGGCTCTTCTCTCTGGCCTAATGCCAGTGTTATATCTCCTGCAGCACTGCAGCTCCTTGGTTGGAGTACTTCATAAGGCAGTAGCTGTAGCTCCTGTCACTGCCTGTGTGATCCCTACAGATAAAATCACTAGTAATTGCTTTGTGAATCCATAATGGCCCATCTGACTATGGATCCCATCCAAACAAGAGATCAGGCATTCAGAGGAAGAGTAACAATTAAATCAAAGGGGCAGAATCACTTGAACTTCTGTCCATAAGTGACTTTCCAGAGCTATGTTAAAGGGATAGTGGGCAGAGTGAATCGATGGAGAACCTGCTCCCAAAGCTCCGTGCCCATCTCAGTCATGATCTTCAGTCGATTCCAGTGAATGTCAATGGACAATCTGACAGACAATAAGTACCCACAGGCTCTTCAGATGTAGAGCGTGATCTCCCAGTATTAATCTGTCTGAAATAATACTGTGAGGCAATGGCCAGGTGATTTTCAGTGTTCTAGGTTATAGTTTCAGCTCAAAGAGAAGCCATTTAACTGGTGAAGAGTTGTAAGTCTATGATGAATATGCACAATTGCTACTTAACATAGGAGGACTGTCCTGCACAGCAGTTGTTCAGTGAAGGATGTCAATGGACAGTGGGCAGAAAGAGGGTATGTACTCTTGGACTGATGCTATAGCTGACAGGGCTGATTTGCTCCTGATACATACTAAGATAACAGAAACATTACCAGGGATACCTCTGGAGATGACACTGGAAACTCTGCTGCTTGAATTATCCCCATGCTTGCTGCACATCAGCTTTTAAAGGGATCTGAAAAAGTTGCATAAGGGAGACTACTGACCAGTGTGAGACTTAGAGAGCTTGGTGTTTCCTTTATCAAGGAGCAGGTGAGAAATAATTTGATGGCAGCATGTAAGTAACACAGGGGAGAAAATACTAAGTTGTAAAGAGCCCTTAAACCTGGCAGTAGGAAGATTTAGTAGGGAATGATGCTCAGAAGCTGAACCAAAGATATTCCAATGAGACAGAAGGCAGGCATTTGGTAACTCATTTTGGTAACTCATTTGGCACTCATTTTGGTAGCCACTGCAATAGGCAGTGGTTAACACATGTCAGAGTTGATTGCTTGCTCTTATATCAGCCTGTAGCCCCTGAGTGTGTGGATGCGGGGACCAGCGGGGATGTGAACATGGAACAAGACTCACAGAGCTTCTGTTTGCATGTGGTCCCAATAGCTGGAGCAATCCATTGGCAAAGCTTTGCCTGATGCCTCTGCCGGCAGAGTGCTTTAAAGAAAGAGAGAACAACGTTTCCAACCTGAAGTAGCCAGCCTGTGTGAAAAGCTGTCTCCATTCCCAGCTCTGCTCCCTTCCCAACCTTGTGTCCTTCCGCAGGTGTGTTAGTGACACTATGGATCATTGATCGGATAGGCCGCAAGAAAACCATGGCCCTGTCCTTTGTTGTCTTCTCGCTTTGCAGCCTGCTGCTGTTTCTCTGCGTTGGAAGGTAAGGAAAACACGATGAGCAATGGGCCTCTCCGGTCCATCTGTGTTCTCTCTTGGTTATGGCGGAACTGGAAGTGGTGGTTTGCAAAGCCATGAGGTCGTGCTGAACTCGAGGTAGCATTAAGGATGGCATTCCAGTATGTGAAGGGGGCCTATAGGGATGCTGGGGAGGGACTCTTCGTTAGGGACTGTAGTGACAGGACAAGGGGTAACGGGTTAGAACTTAAACAGGGGAAGTTTAGATTGGATATAAGGAGGAAATTCTTTCCTGTGAGGGTGGTGAGGCACTGGAATGGGTTGCCCAGGGAGGCTGTGAATGCTCCATCCCTGCCAGGGTTCAAGACCAGGCTGGATGGAGCCTTGGGTGAGACGGTTTAGTGTGAGGTGTTCCTGCCCATGGCAGGGGGTTGGAACTGATGATCTTAAGATCCTTTCCAACCCTAACCATCCTATGATTCTATGATTCTATGGTGTTAGATTTTCTACACCAGTTTGGAAGGAAACTAAAAGAAGCAGGAGAGGAGAAATCCTTCTCTGTAATCTTTCAGACAGAGCAATTCAAAGGGCAAAATGAGAGCTTGTTTCTGAGTAGGAGGTAACCATTGGACAACTTTAAATCAGATCTGATATCATGAGCCTCAGGAGCTGGTTTATGCACTGCTCTCTGCCATTCACTACCTATGCTTCCCCAGGCTGCCTGGATAGTCATTGCCAGGGCTGTGCTTCACAACCAAGCCCAGTCTCTGATCCCATTCAGCTGCTCTGACTGCATCTGGCCTTGATGCCACATGCATGTGACAGTGTGTGTACCTCGGCACTGATGGACAAGGAAATGACCTGACAGCCAGAGGAGAGCTCTGTGATTCAGAGCAGTGGACAGGAACCCTGGCATAAGAAGCCTCACAAAGTCACACACAGCCAGGCAGTCTGCAGGTTCATGTCTTTTAAACAGCTTTCAAGCTGCACTCCCATTGCCTTTTCCTGTGTGCCATCTTTTTGTTAGCACCATTCGTAACACGGAATGTGGTTGTCTCATTTAGCTACATTTAGGCATGTGCTGCTTATTTCAATAGGCCACAGCTGTTAGGAAGAGCGGATGCACTTGGTGAACTGATGTGATTGTGGGAATGCAGATTGTTTGGCATCATTGTTGTATCGAAGGTCCAGAAACAAACATGAAGGGTTCATTAAAACCCAAACGAAGTCGTTCGAAGCAATTGAGGGGTTTTATTGCACTGGCCTCCAAGTTAAACAGATTGTCCCAAACCACCCCAAACACTGCTCTCCTTTTTGTTCTCACAGGAACGTTCTTACTGTGCTGCTCTTCATTGCAAGAGCTTTTATTTCAGGAGGATTTCAGGCTGCTTATGTTTACACCCCGGAGGTAAGGAGGTTGGGTTTGGAATGAGGATGCTTCAGGGGAGTGAGGCCATGGTGGGAAAGTCGTTTTGCCTGCCCTCTTCACAATGGACCTTGCCCCCGATATGAGCTGGTGATCTCATGGTCCTTGTCTAACAGAACCCGCTGTAGTTCCACTTACTGAGTTCCATCGATTTAGGAGGCTGGAGGGAAGAGAACTCCCCAGTGGTGTTAATGGACCTTGCTTTGTTCACAGGTTTATCCAACAGCCACGCGCGCGCTGGGGCTGGGAACATGCAGTGGAATGGCCCGAGTGGGAGCCCTCATAACCCCCTTCATTGCACAGGTAAAAACCCTTCTCCCAGGTGCCAAGGCAGAGGAAGGTGAGGGAGAAGCTGCTGTGCTGCTGCAGGGGCCAAACCAAAGGCGAGCTGTGCGTGATGTGTTAAAGCAGGGCTGTTGTTGCCTGATCCTTGAGGAGAGTTCAGGCTCATCCCTGGGTTTGCCTCTTCCACCATTGCTCTGTATGCTGGGGGCTGAATAAGCAAGCAGCAGGCTGCAGGATGGATGGAAGGACACCTTGGAGGCCAGCACCTGGCCATGGGATCATGAGAGGCAGGGAGTTCCTGTGTGTGGTGCAATGCCACCTCCCTCTTGGCATCCCGGGCTGAGGTCCTGGAGGGTACAAACCTTCAGGGGATGTGGAAGGAGCTAGAGAGGGGTTTGGGGGAGCCCAGCTCCACAGGGATGGGACGGTGTCAGAACCAGTGGCTCTGCAAAGGGCCAGGATTTGCTTAAGATCCTGGGATTTGCTTAAATCCTGCCTAATGTGTAAGGGCAGCAGCACCTCATGGCACTGGTTTGTCGGTGTTTAATAGCTGTGTGTAACCACTGAGGAAAGGAAGACTGCAGCAGTGCGTGTTAAACACGCTGCCAATGCTGTAATTAAAACCTCTGCTGCCACCTCAGTGTCTGTTTCTGTGACAGGGCCATGGGGAGCTGGTTTCTATCTTCTGCCTTCTTCCTGCAGGTGATGTTGGAATCTTCAGTCTATTTAACACTGGTGGTTTACAGTGGATGCTGCCTGTTGGCCGCTGTGGCTTCCTGCTTCTTGCCCATTGAAACCAAAGGCCGTGGCTTACAGGAGTCCAGCCAGAGGGAATGGGGACAGGAGATGGTTGGGAGAGGATCTCAATCGCCAGGGGTCACCAGGTCTAACTCTGGATCACAGGAATGATGGGACACGGAAACCTGCTGGAGGAATGAATGATCTGAGCAAGTTCTTTCACACAAACCCAACCCTGAAGCCTAGGAAGCTGACCATCCTGTCACTGCCAATGTCGTGTGTCAAACTGCAGGAACCTTGGGGTTCAGCCCAAGGCAGTTGTGTCTCTGCTGCCCTTTGCTCACGCTCATAAAGACTTTACTTCACTATGGAGAGGCGTTTGATCCAGATATCATTTGAAGTTTAGCAGGAAGGGGGTTTCTTAAGTCTGTTGTGCTTGCATGGTCAGCTCTTCAGCTTACATGTCCCGTGTCAAGCAAATAGCCAACTGAATGCAACTCAGTATAAACTGTAATTAAAATCATGCACTCTTGATGCCTAAAAACCAAAAGGTTAATATTTATTGTGTCCCTGCCATAGCACACGGTGCATTCCATACAATACAGAGTAGGTTTTATGAGTTAGATGCCTGCCTTGCACTTTCTAGCCATTGCCAACCACCACGTGACGACGGTGCACCAACCAATGCATCCTAGTTCCTTGGGAATGAAGCACGGATTGCTTGGAACCTGTTTCCTGGATGTTTCCCCCATCTGAGGCAGGCGGATGGAGTCAGTGAGGAGCGGTGTTTGTCATGGAGACAGAACCTTACAGAAGGGATGTGAATCCCCCTAGCTTGGAGCAGAGTTTGACTTCTCTACCAGAAACATTGAGTGCTCTGTGTGCTGCTTGGTGAAGACTGCTTCAGCTGCCCTGGTGTCTCTCTGTGTGTGGAGGTGCCCGCTGGGGTCTTCTGCATGGGTCCAGGTATGTCTCTGCTCCATTCGCCTCAGTGTGTTCTCGCAGTGGTGTAGCCCAAACCTGTGACAAACCACCTCAGCCTAACAGCAGTTGGAGGGAGCTGCTTTCAGGTGTCTCCCAGCAGAAGCTGGCCTTGGGGCAGCTGGGCAGGACTTCTTGGTAGCTGCTGATTGTGGATCAACCTTGACGTCAAGCTGGTGTTGAAGTGAATCAAGACCATAAGATGAGCCAAGCAACAATACTTGGAGCATTGTGTGCAGTTCTGGTGTCCTCAACATAAAAAGGACATGGAACTGTTGGAACAAGTCCAGAGGAGGCCACGAGGATGATCAGGGGACTGGAGCACCTCCTGTATGGAGATAGACTGAGAGTTGGGGCTGTTCAGCCTGGAGAAGAGAAGGCTGCGTGGAGACCTCAGAGCAGCCTTCCAGTATCTGAAAGGGGCTATAGGGATGCTGGGGATGAACTCTTCATTAGGGACTGTAGTGACAGGACAAGGGGAAATGGGTTAAAACTTAAACAAGGGAAGATTAGATTGGATATAAGGAGGAAATTCTTTCCTGTGAGGGTGGTGAGGCACTGGAATGGGTTGCCCAGGGAGGTTGTGAATGCTCCATCCCTGGCAGTGTTCAAGACCAGGCTGAATGGAGCCTTGGGTGAGATGGTTTTGGGTGAGATGGTTTTGGGTGAGATGGTTTTGGGTGAGGTGTCCCTGCCCGTGGCAGGGGGGTTGGAACTGGATGATCTTAAGTTCCTTTCCAACCCTAACCATCCTATGATTCTAAGCTGCAGTCTAGCTTAGATGAGGAACTTCATCAGGTGTAGCTCCTCAAGGCTGATGATCAGAGAATATAACAGCGTTCAGGTGGGGAGGCGCTTGCCTTGTTTGTCAGAAGCCTCTCACCGTGCAGGAGGTCAGATCTCTGTGGCTGTGTGTGAGGAAGCTGTGACCTGTCTCAACCCTGTCTCAGTTTGTTTCCAGGATTCCAGGCTCCAGAATACACAACCAAATGTGAGTGAGATGGACTAAATGTGAATCCCTAGGCTATGGGACACAATGCACTTCTATAGCGCTCAGTTGTCTCGTGTAAACACAGCGTGCACCAGGTTTTGCTAAGTGGAATATTTAGGGAACCAGGCTCCTTTTGTGGGGGGCAGGAATGGGTGACTGGGTCCATGTTTGGGTGCAATACCAATGGGCACAGTTGGGGTTCAGCTTTCCCTCGGGGTTTTACGGCGCTGCGGTAGGATGCTCCAGGATGCATTAGGGTGTTTGTTACAGCACTGCAGGGACGTGAGAAGCGGATGATTCCTCCAAGAAACTGAGGAACCTCAGAGAGGCCAAAGAGACTGTTGGTGTTCTGTGTGGGGTACCCAGTGCCAAGAAGGGCTGAAGCTTGATGAGGCACCGTGGTGTCTGCCCATTCATTTCCTGCAGCGGCAGACTCCAGATGCAGTTGGTCTGAGCACCAAGCTGCCCTTTCCTCAGCACCAGGGAAGTGCGGTTCAGCTCCCAGGGGATCCTGCTTTAGATGTGGCTGATGGAAACACACAGCCTGGTCTCTGTGCTGGTTCTCTCTGTCCCTGCTGTCTCTATCTGTGTGCTCAGTTTCCAGCTCAGCCCAGCAGTTGTTACCTTTAGTTAACGTTCTGCTTTTCCACTGTTTACCTTCACACATCATTTGGGGTTTTGGGGACAATATTCAACAGTTGACAGGACTGCATTGCAGTGGCCTTCAGAGCGTGCACTCAGAGAGGTTCAGGTGAAGCAGATACAGCCCATACATTTGCATGTGTGTATGCTTCAGATTAAACATTTCCCAGGTAAAGATTTATAGGCGATGAGAAGCCTTTGGTGCTGTTGAGTGGTTCAGTTTTAACCTGTGACATTTACAGTGTTAAAAATAATTGTAGGCATTTCTGCTTTTCACTTTGTACAAATTCTGCATCGAAAATGTATTTAATAAGTGCCAAGACTGGTCCTGCTGCAACATCTTCATACACTGGGGCTTTGGGTGAGAGATGGTGATGCCTAAAGCAGGATCCAAAGCTCACTGAGGCCTGGGACAGTCTCCCATGGATGCTCGTGGGCTCTGGATGAGCTGAGCAGGGTGATCAGGAGCCTGCCACAGCTCATCAAACAGCGCTGGAATTCAGGTTCTGCAGGTCCCTGCATGTTATTGATAATGGGAGGATGGTTTGGACTGTCCACTGGAAAACTCGCGAGCATTTGGGATTGTACACAATAGCCTATAAATAACCACGGGTCATATTTTGTTAATATGGCAACACCATTGATGTACATAAGAAGCTTCCAAAGATCATTTTACACACTCTTGAGTATTTTTCACTGATGAATTACTATAGCTTGTTCATTCAAAACAACAAAGGGAGATCCTTGTGAATTCCAATTGAGAGCAAACAGAACGGGGGGGTCAGAGGTTTGCTGAGTGTCTGCTACGTTCACATCCAAAGCTGGTGTTGGGGACAAGAATCTCCCCGTGTGCTTTGATGGCAGGATGTGTCATTCCTCAAGAACACGGAATGTTTCCCTGGTCTGAATGTACAGTTTCTAAGCTGGATACGTTTCAGTGTTGAAGAACTTTGTGTATCTGAAGCTCGATGTAAAATACTCCTTCTGTTCCCAGGTTACACCACCCTGGAGACTTTAATTCCACACTGGCTATTTTCTGTTGAACAAATAAATAGCTTTTTCAGTAAAGAGGCTTTGGGCTGGTCTGTGCAGGGTCAGCAACTTCACCACTTCCTTGCCTTGATGCTGAGACCCATCTTGTTGTGTGAGGGCTCAGCGCTCTGCGGCTCCAACTCCTTCTCTGCATGTTTGGACATAAAGTCATAGGAACCACAAGTAAGCTCCCAGATACCTACACCTGAACGTTCCCTTGCTTACTTACAGGCCTTTAGTTGCTTTCTGCCTTCCAGACAGTTTGGACAGTAAGAACCAGTCCGTTTGGCTGCTTGCCTATGGGGATGTTCTGGTGATGCCTTTAACGTGGCAGCGTGTGAGCACAGAGGTGTGTTGGGAGGAGGCGGCTCCAAGTGTACCGGGACCTCAGGGCAGGTTATTTACCCTTTCATGGGGTAAAGGTTATTTACCCTTTCATGGAAGCAGCTCTTTCCCCTATCTCGTTCCTATAAACCCCAGCCAAGCACATCCCCCCCACTGTGTTCCTCTGCCCTTTAAATCATCCTCTTACACTGATGTCTATTGCAAACACGAGGCTGCTGCTGAGCCAGTGATGAAGGAGCTGCATGTACCCCGCATGCTACTGCAGCACCTTCTCCTCGCCCCGTGTGTTCATCTTCCTTGTGCAGCCCTGACACGCCTCTGGGATGCAGCCTCCTATTCCTGGGAATGGGAATTGTTGGTAAGTGTGGAAGGGTTTGTGTCCTGGAGCAGTGCTGAGGGAGAGGGTTCGTTCTCTGGTGATTTCTGGGAAGCTTTTGCCCCCTTCGGGCACTTCTAAGGCTTGCTCTGTTTTCCCGAATGCTGGAGCTGCTCTTTGCTCACTGAGGGTAACTTCACTGGTACTTGATGTGATTCCAGCTTTGTTCCATGTCCCAGGTGAGCGCTGTTGGGAGTGCACAGAATCTGCTGATGCTGGAGATGGTTTGTGCTGCTGAGGAGCCCAGTGGAGTGCCCGCATCCCGCTGCCTCCTTCACCTCTGCTGTGCCATGGAGCTGAACCTCGGTCTCATGGCTCTTCACTCTTACCACATCCCACCAGTGTAAGACCTTTCCCATTGCTCTGCCCTCAGGACAGAGCAATGGGGTGAGCTACACCAGCAAGTCCCACACATTTCTGTCTGGGACTGTGGGTTCTTAACAGGCTGGATACCATTAAGCACCAACACCCCATGCTCCATGGTGCTCTTCCAGCCCCATTTGTCTATTTGCAATCTAGAGCCATGTCTCTTCCTCCTGCAGGATGGAATCTTCAGGGAAAATGCATGTGGAGACATGGAATGAAGATCTGCAGGGGCGTTTCCATGGAATTAGCATTTCCAGCCCTATGCATGGCATCATTGAGAAGAGACAGCTTCACACATGAGGTATTTGAACATTACCTTTATTGTGCACACCTATGAAACTGCGGCCTTTGAAACAAGCACAATCAACCTGCACTGAAAATCACTTGGGAACCAGTTCTGTTCCTGTTCTAGGGTCAGACCCTCCTGGAGCATTCCCCATCCCTTTGGAAGCACCAAGGCAGCTCCAGTGCTGCTCCGTGTCCCACGGTGGGAGGAAATGAGATGCTGAAGAGCCCATGGGAGTTTTAGGGCTGAGAACAGCTATTTTGGGTGTGCTCCTGCTATATATAGAGCCTGGCAAGCACACAGGGCTGGGACGTGTTGCTTTTGTTGCTAAAAACATCATTTGGGAAGCCCATTTTAGGCAACTGCTGCTGTCTGCTGCCAGCAACACTAACCAGGTGCTGCAGCGTGGGCTCTCTGTCCTGGCTCGAGCATAAGGAAAGCGCTGTAAGTGCAGCACGTGCTTGAGGAGCTGTTGGTACTTCCCTGCGAGCTGCAGGGCTTCTTCCTACTAAGGAGCTTTTGCCTCCTGGGGGAAGCTTGCAAACCCAATTACACACCGGGTGTTGGAGCAGGCACCGGCTCAGTTTCAGATCCCATCCCCTCGTGCAGGTGAACCACAGGAGGGTCAGGATTCCAGCCCAACCCTGCCTGTCCTCTGCAGACTGATCCCAGGACACAAGTGCACTGCGGAACAGGCCATCAGGCCATGGGTTAAAGCACTGCCTCTGGGTAGGTTGTGCTTGGCTGGGGTGGAGGGAGCGTGGCCATGTGGCAAATGACAGCACCAGAACTGGCAGCTCCCAGAAATGAGACTGGATGAACCTGACCTGATGCTGGCAGGAGGGTTGAAAAGACTGGTGTAGCACTGTGTTATTCCCATCTTTCTGCTGTGATTCCTAAGCTACTCCTGCCACCATCATCCTGGGTAACTCACAAGCCAGCCAGCTTCCTCTCCTGGAGGATGCTGCCAAAGAGCCTGGCTGCTGCCATGGCACAGCCCCAGTGGATGGTGATCCCGAACCCACCGTGGCCGTAGTTGTGTATCACCTGGGGGAGAAGAGGAGGGATCAGTGCTGGGAAAGCTGTCTTTAGATTGACCCTTCAACCTCCCAGTGCACACACAGTGACCCTCTGCTCCACCCTTCCCTCCAAAGCTGCTGGAGAGGCA